TCCTTTGAAAAACAAGACAACCAAGGGGGCGAACAGGCCAGAGAAAGCACAGCTGTTTTCACTGCTCTTCCGCATGTGGCTGACCTCACAACTTACATGATCCAGGACATCATTAGTTTCTCCAAAGGTCTTCAGGACTTCCGGTAAACGTGTGCTTCGATGCATATTCAAATATGTCTCAGCAGAGTTTTTTTTATGATTCGTGTCAAGCCTTTAAGTGTGTATCACACTGATTATTTATAGGTCTTTAAGCATTGGGGACCAAATTGCTCTGTTGAAGGGAGCCACATTTGAAGTTATGCAGATCCGCTTCAACATGGTATTCAACACAAAAAGAGGCACCTGGGAATGTGGCCATTTTACATACTGCATAGATGACGCTCTACGAGGTGAGACTGCTTACACGAGCGAAAGCCACAGAATGCTTTAATATATTTAAAGGGGTTGGAGCTAACTTTCTACTCTGCAGTGTCCAAAAATGCAGACGAGTAGATACACATCACACATAATACTTTACAATGTGCACAGATACAGATTTTCACTGCATAACACTCACACTTAAATATCTACAAACCTTTGAGGGAGGATATTGTGTTTATTTGAATGACAGACAAGTTTTTGACAACAGTTGCCAAAGAGCACATCCAGCACACACTGAGCAACATTCACTTGGAGTTGTTGCAAGTTCAATATCGATGCTCTGTGGGTTCATCCCTACAAGCAACTAATTTCACATACAGTAATTTAATCAATTTTTAATGTAAAAATATGAATTACAGCAGCTTTAAGAAAAGAGGTGCAATCATATGGAGGCTGAAGTTCCACTGGATGTTGTAATTCTTATTCTAATTAAAATACATTCAGTGAGGGTTTTAGTTAAGGATGGATTGGAAATACAGATGGATCGATGTGATTGTATAAAGTGATAGAGGATATATAAGGCACAGATATGATCTGATGCTGATTAAAACAGCACAGAGGTATGTACTGTATGTGAGGAATCTAGGTTATAGTTGACAACGTTTAAAAGTAATCCAAACCATCAGCAGTCTCAGACATGTCAAGTACCTCTGATTTACAGTCGGAGTCCTTTTTTTGACCGTATGAATGATTTTTATCATCTCACTCGTCTTGGTTTCAATTAGCCTTGAACCTTTAGCTTATGTACAAAGTTGCGATGTTTCTAATATGAATGCAGATATCTGTGCATACATATATAGATGTTGACATGTATTACATGACATGTAATAAAAGGTGTGTGCATCACTTATCTCAGTTCTCAGACGTGTAACGTGACACCTGGAGCAACGTTCACTAGAATGTTGTCAAACTGGTTTTGTCTGCTCCTTTCTTTCTTAAGATCAAACTAAATGCAGTTGACATTCATTCGCTCAGTTCCGGCTTCGTGCTCACTGAGGTTACCCGGTAGACCGTCTTTAACACTGTGTGCATTTTCTAATTATATTCACTGTAAGATTAGGAAGTAAGATATATGTAAGAAGAAGAATATTATTATGATTTGGGTTTCAAACCTAACCCCATGATTTGACAACAGACTCAAAATAATTTGCCACCATGTAAATACAGACTTTGACTTTTTGTAAAATAAAATTAAATGTCCATGACCAAGATGATGCATCTTTAAAGAACTGTGCTGACACCGTGAAGGAATTCAACCTTTTCTTTCACATAATTTCATCTTCCTATGCATGTGATTTTGGATACCTTTGTAAATATATAATATATATAGAATTTTTTTTTTTTCCATTTATTTTCTTGTGAGATACAAAAAGGACAGAGAAATGCAAAACAATAACGTACAAGGATGTAGAAATAACATTAGTCAATATTGATGATTGATTGATTATCACACATTAATATGTTGTGATAATGATGATAATAATATTATTATTATTATTATTATTATTATTAATAATAATAATAATCCTGTATCCAAGAGTTTTGTCTATATTGTCCAGCCTTACAGTAAATACCTTGAAAAGGATTAAACATCCAGAAATATTCAAAGAAAAGTCTACATTCACATGATAGTTGAGACTTTATTAAACATAAAGAAAGCTCAAGGAAAGAAAAAGTTACAGGTAAATGTCATGTTAAATTTAGCATGATGTACATTTCCACAGAATTATTATTTATTTTAAGTACTGTAAGTACAACAACACAGTCATGCCAGAAAGGCTGTTCTCATTCACTACTTGACCCAAACTGATTCCACTTTTGTGTCTTTTTTTGTCTTATTTTGCATTTCCTGAAGATGATTCATAATAGCCTTGCTGGGTACCCCCGTGCCCACTTAAAGGGAAACTCTTACCAATTCTCACACATCAAAGTGTGTTTACAGGTCTTGGGGAGTACTACTGCATATATGAAGAGTTATATAAAGCCTTTTGCATCTGACAAATTACCTCAAATGATGTCACTTGAGTTAGCAATAAGTGAGCTCTGTAACCCGTTCCTTTTCTCTGCTTATGGCTAGCGGTTCGAGCCTACATTTGCTGCTACTAGCATAACACACATAACAACACCTGAATCTTGACCAGATTTTTGGTGGTCGAGTTGCATTGTGGATGATGTAGACACTAAATTTTGACGAAAGAATAATGTGTGGAATAAAATGAATGATCATCAGTCATTGTTTTGCTAGTCTTACCTTTTCTGTGCACTTGTGTTTTGTAGCTGGCTTCCAGCCGCTCCTGCTGGAGCCTCTGCTCAAATTTCACCACACACTGCGCAAACTGGGCCTGCAGGAGGAAGAGTATGTTCTCATGCAAGCCATGTCCCTGTTTTCTCCAGGTAGCAGCAGGTCTTCATCAGATCATCCCAGTCCTTGCTAATCAATCATGCCCTGTGAATACTGTATTTAAACCCTACAAACAGTGTGAACTTGTATCCAGTGCAACTTTAAAAATTAAAGTTCTCAGGTTCAGGTTGCGTTGGATTAGTAAATATTTGTTTTTATTCAATCTCTCAGATCGTCCAGGTGTGCAGCAGCACAGTGTAATTGACGAGCTTCATGAAAACTTGGCAATGACGCTGAAAACCTGGATTGACTGCAAGAGAACAGGCCCGGAAAAACAGTGAGTGAAAAACCAATTGCCACTTTCAGTCCACTGAAAGCTTTCACAGGTTTATAACCTCCTTTGTTTCCTCTGTGCCTCCAGCTTGCTGTACCCCAAAGTGATGGCCTGTCTCACCGAGATGAGAACAATGACCGAGGAGTACAGCAAACAAGTTCTGCAGATCCAGGACATCCAGCCTGACGTTATCTCTCCTCTCATAGTGGAGATGGTTCGTAAAAACCCCTGTAATGACTTATAATAATGTACTCTATAATACTCTAATCTACTGTACATGGACGGCTCAGGCTACTGGGTCCACCTATGCTATTTAATAATTAAGATCAAACTGGAAACCAGTTGAATGTGATCATGGATTTAAAGCAAAGTATTTTGTTATCTGTCTGTTATCTGTCAAAACCCTAAAGAATGCACTTCTGTCATGTAATAGTCTTAAGCATAGACCGCACAACATCCTGAACACATGGAGATAATTAACCTCATAGTCTGAGTCCTGCTGAAATGTAAACTAGTATCTGTTCTCGGCACACTACCTGTCAGGCAGCATTACGTTTGTTTTGTTTACTTGTGAAAGTACTAGTGGATTTGTCATGTTTGTGTTATTTGTTTTGCTTATTAAGTACATATTGTATGTCTATGAATGAATGTCAACTTAAGGTTGTGAGGTTTAATGTTTTTTCAGACCATGAAGTCTGTATTTTCTCAGAGAGCTGCAGTTGCAAAGACTATGTTTGCTTTTTATATACGTTACCTCAGGTTGTGTTGATGCAATCATATAAAACAAAAATGCTCTACACTTATTGTAAATAAAACTTACTAATGGTGCTCCTCAGATTGAAGTGTTTGATGGTGCTTCTATGGTCATTAACAGCATAATAGGACAAACACTGCCCCACTGTGGTCGTACTAAAACAAAAGATAACAAGGATGTAAATGAGTTGGTGCCACAGTAAAAATCTGAACTGGTATGTGTAAAACAGTTTGTACTGTAAACTGTAATAATTATAGCACAATTTAGCCATGATAGTGGCAGCAGTGACTGTGGCGGTCTGTCTGTCCTTCACTCTGGTCCAGACGAAAATATCTGAACAATTGTTGGATGGATTGCCATTCAATTTTGTACAGACCTTCGTGGTCCCCAGAGGATGAATTCTACTGACTTTAGTGATCCTCTGTCTTTTTTCTTCTGGGGCCACAATGAGGTCAGCATTTGTCTTTTGAGCGAAATGTCTCAACAACTATTGAATGGGTTGCCATAAAATCCTGCGTTGACATCCACGTCCTTCTAAGGACACATTGTAATAACTCTAGCGCCATGATCAGGCACAAATCTTCACAGTACTTTGGTTTATGACCAAATACCTGCAAACCTAATGACAATCTCATCAGCCTTATCTGCAATGTGTGTTTAATGCTAATTAGCAGATATTAGCATGCTAACATGCTTTACATGATAAACATACCTGCTAAACATCAGCATGTTAATATTGTCATGAGCATGTTAGCATTCTGGTGTTAGCATGAAGCTCAAAGTGCCACTATGCCTATTAGTACAGCTTCACAGAGCTGCTAGTATGACTATATACTCTTAATCTTATGTATATATATATATATGAATATATAATATAAATAGAAATACAAATATATAAATAAACATGTTTAATGTGAACATTTGGAAGAATCACACTCAAATACAATCAAACATGAACGTTTGATTGTATTCACGTTGAAGCCATTATTTCAAGAACTTTTTCATGTTGTACAAGTAGTAAGAGAATTTGTATCTTTTATCAAGTCATCATAATTTTACAAAATTATGTTGCTCTCCATATTGCTCGGCTTTTCAACGTTTTTTGACTATGTGACGGCACACACTGAAAGAAGACGGAACAGACACACAGATTGATCATTTCCAGGCTATCCTACTCTTTATTTAATGCAAATTACAGTACCAGGGAACTATTCCTCAGAGCACGCAGAGGGAATATTTACAGAGGTGCACATTGAGCATACCTTCACAGAACAAAAAAAAAAACAAACAAACAAAAAACAAAACAAAAAAACAAATGAAATATAAATTTCAGTCACAAACAGAGGCATTCAAGTAGTAGTACTGTTATACAGGATGTTTTTGTAGTATTTTCTATGATTCTTCTTTTTCTTTAACCCCAGTTAAACCTAGTTAGCACATTAAACTAGTATATGTGCAAGTATAACATACTAGCATATATACTCTTCTTTTTTGGTAACTTGTGGTGTTTTTATTGAACTGGAGTTAGGGGTAGGGTGAGGTGGTCAAACTGTCTGGTGGTAGCAACACGTTCATGAATGCAAAATTACAGCAAGCAGGAGACAGGAGAGAGGCTACATGACTCGACCCCTTAGGTGCTACTGAATTCCCCCCCAAATATCCGAATATGCAGACAGGAAGGAGAACAAGCAAGAGGACAGAGAAAGAACAAAATATCCAGAGTAAGAAGAAGGGAGACAGAATACATGACTGCCTCTGAGGATGGCTCATCACAACTACATCTTAGTTTGGCTTTGGTAACAGAACCAACACTGTGAGTAATACAGAAACTGTACTGTATTGTATATATATATGTATATATATATATACACAGTATATGAGGCCTTTTTTAACCCCTGCTGCCATTCCCCCCCCCTACCCACTTCATGCCCCCGGAGTCCGTGCCAGGACTGTGGTATACATGTTTGTGCGTGCATGTGTGTCCAAGATAAAACATCTAAAATAAACACTTGTCTACTGTATCTTCAGTTAAGGAAAATATCCTTACAATTAACAATGTCTGTATATTACATTAAGTGTGCAATGGAAAAGGGAAAGAGGTGCAGGTGGAGGGGGACTGAAAATCAAGCGGAAGAGTGTGAATGTGTGTGTGTTGCGGGATAGCAGGACATTCAACAGCACCAAAGGGAGAGTCACAATATCAGGAGAGTGAAGGGGGGCGGGGTGAGGGGGAACAAGGCGAAGGTGTATGAAAGCAAAGGCACTCCAAACTATAGTTACACTATACATGACTAGTTCTTGTTACAATAATACAGCTGTCATCTACTGTACTGTACAGGTAAGATTGAACATATGGCTGGATAAAGCTGATCATCATCATCATCATCATCTACAATATCCATAAACAATATCAGTTTCGCCCTGATTCTGTTTTTTTTTTTTTTATCTTTTTCATTTCTTTTCCTACCCTTTGTCATCTTTGTTTTTGCTCATAAACAGTACATGGGTCTGCATATATACATACCTTGAACACAACATGGAAAAATAATAATCAACATAACAACATAAAAAACAACATACAAGTCATACAAGTCAGAATTTTGGTGAGGAGCATTTATACTGTATATACAAATTCTGCTTTTTCTTTTCTTTTCTTTTTATTTTAAAATGTAGTGAGTATTCTCTGTAAATAAGACGCTTCGACAGACTGTACCGAGTGTCTCTATGTGTGCTCTAGGAGGAGGAGAAAGAACGCTAGGCTAACACTTCAGTCAGTGGTCACAATACATGAGACAGTCCGCGACGAGCGAAAGACCACCACCGGGACTTCTCAGGGACTCGAGGGAAGAAAAATGTTGGGAAACATCTTGAATTCTTCACAGAGAGAGAGAGAGAGAGAGAGAGAGAGAGAGAGAGAGAGAGAGAGAGAGAGAGAGAGAGAGAGAGAGAGAGAGAGAGAGAGAGAGAGAGAGAGAAGAAGAAGAAGAACTAGACAAGGGAAGATGTTTGTCTAGACACTGCACTGTCACAGGCACACTGTTACAGACAGGGTCGGTACAAAGACAGGGAATAGAGCAATGCCCTAAATTCCATCTACAGCCTTAATACAGATAACACAGGAGAACAGGGAAGTGAGTGCTGGAATCTAACCACACTCCAGCAAAACAAAAACAAAAACAAAACAAAAACACCACCTCATCTAAATCTATTGTCTTTAGGCAACGGCAAATATTGCCACTGCTCTGCCAGATATGAGCTCACCATAAATGATTTCTGAACCATTGTAGTTAATATACATATATCTATATATACTTTTTATACATAAGGAAAAGTAATATAAACTGTGTATGTATGCATGTTTGTTTTGTATTGTATGTATATATTATACAAGCACACAGGACCAGATACATGTCACATCCATCGCACATGGCAATCCAAAAACATCTGCCCAGGAGTACAAAACAAAAATTAAAAACAAGGTCGGGTAAAACAGCTTGCTAACCATTTAAAAACAACCCCGGGCAAAGAAACAAAAAAAAACAAAACAAACAACCTGTCCAAACGTTACCCCCGCAAGTGGACTGCTTCTTTCCACATACATCAGGATCATCATGCATCCATGTGTGTGTGTGTGTGTGTGTGTGTGTGTGTGTGTGTGTGTGTGTGTGTGTGCGTGCGTATGAGTGTGTATGTGTGTATACCCGTGCGTGAGCCTCATGCCTTGTCTGCGGAAGTGTAGGTGAGAAGTGAGAGGGGCGGGGTGACCCCCTCCCCCACCCCATGTGATCCTAACCATACTCAGGCCATGCACTACAGGAGGAACCAAAGGGGGATGGGGGGGTTTGGTGGGGACATCGGCCAGGGTCAGAGGTCAAAGGATGAGGTTGCAGAAAAATGGAACAACATGGAGGAGGACAGAGGGGGACGCTAGACAGGGGAGAGGGCCAAGGGGAACAGCTTAGGACTTTTTCTACAGATTGTCCTTTTACAAACATTAGCAGGCTAGCATTGTGTATACATGTACAGTGTACTTTTATCAATAGTACAGTCGACAACACCTCTGGCCCTGCGCTTTGCTTCCCCCCGTGAAAGTGCACGGAGAGATGTCTTTGACAGAGGATGGAGTAGAGCTCAAACAGCTGGATGAGGGGCCAGTCAGGGATGAAAGAGGCAGATTAGGGATGCTTGGTTTGTGGTTGTAGCACGGGACTGTTGGCTAGCTGTTGAACCCGGACTGCGTCAGCATCGCTCCGCTGCTGTCAGGGAGGAGAGCAGGGCAGAGCAGAGCTGAGCTCACCCCCTGGCCGGGGCAATGGAGAGGCCGTGGGCTGGGGCTGAGACCGGGGCAGGGCAGGGGTGGTCTGTGGGCTCAGGAGGTGGAGTTGGAGGCTGAGGCAGAGGCGGTGGTGGTGCTGGGACCTCGCTCTGTGCTGCTGCCATCTATTGATGATGATAATGTACAATTTACATAAAGGTTGGTTAGGAGATTGGTAGGTGAAGCTACGGCTCGCAGGTGCAGCATTAATATACATCAACTATCAGTAAAAGTTCAACTTGAAGTTAAATATATTGACCTTTAGAGCTTTACACTGTTTTTCATGTTTGCAGAGGTCACCACCAGTGCTTGGAACAGATAAACAGAGGTTCATGAAAGAAGTGAGGCTCTAACCTGTGGTGGCAGAGGCGTTGGTTGGGGTAGAGGCGGTGGCCTGGCTGCGGGCGTGGGCAGGGATGAGTATGGAGGCCAAAGATGGATTACTGGATAACTCTGAAAGAAAAAGTTACCAGGTCATGTTTTTACAAAGTTTCCTACAACTCCATGATGGATGTAAGACAGCGGAATATTTTCTAAAGTTAAGAGGTAATAATGCTAAATGGACTCAAGAATTGTTCTTTTAATTTCAAGATCAACTTATGTGTTAACACTATTGATAACGTGATGGCAAAAACTACACGGCAAACACATGTTTAATGCTTTTCTTGTTGCATACCCTGGGTAGTGAAATTGAACAGCGAGGGCTTCTCTCTCCCATTGGGCAGTTTGACGTTGGGGTCGCGCAGCTCATCAAAGAAGGAGTGTGCGCAGGCCTCTAGAGGGGTGAGGCGGGCCGTGGGCGTGTACTCCAGCAGGCGAGAGCAAAGGGCGATGGCCTCTGGAGGCGTACGTGGTCGGAACACCTGAACACAGTACACACAAAGACAGACATCAGCGATGAACGTACGAAGTCTATTCATAAAAGTCATCATAAAAAGTAGACATTCTAATATTGTCAACACACACAAACACACACACACACACACACACACACACACACACACACAAAATGAACATGTGTCCTCCAAATTACCTACAGTATATTTTATGAAACCTACTGTGCTGTCAAATGTAGTAAGTTGTATGTAGGGCTATTAATCAATGAATGTCTTTGATTGCTGCAACAGTGAACAGTAGGAGTGACTGATCGCAGTTGCAGGGAGCGACCACAGAAGGGCGCCTAAGAGCCCAAAAGGACCTGCTGCTGCCTGCTGATTGGATGAATCTGTTATCCAACGAAAGAGCTCTGGGTGGCCAGGAAGACAGACACATGAGAGCATGAAGTGGAGAACTACTGTGACCGTTCAATAAAGTCAGGTTGACCCGAGCAAAGCAAGGACTGACTTAGCAGGATGAACTTCGTGGTCAGTGTGACACTGTGCTGTAACTAAGATGACACAGGTTCAATGTACTCAACCAACCTTTAAAAAAAACATGTTCATCAGCCAGTCTAAAGAATCTGCCAAACAAAATGTAAAGTAATGTAATGTATTTACCCTTAGCTGCTTTTAAACTCACTCTGAAATGTAAACAAAAAATCATATAGCATATATACATACTTAACACATAATTTTAGCTTGATGGACATTTTTAGCTTAAACAATGGGATTTAAAAAAAAAAAAGCTTTTGAAGCATTTTGTGTGACAGTTTGTTTATCACAGGCGGGGCTGAAAAAATCTTTACTCATTGTCAACAAGGTGACAGCTGCTGCCTTTGCATTCTCAAGGCCATTCAAAAAGGAGCAAAAAAAACACATTTGCAGCCATATTGCATGGGTAAACACTCCTCATATTGTTTGATAGCAAGCTTTGAATGCTTCACATGCAGCTGAAAAAACTACTGAACTCCTTAAGAGAAGAATTTTATGTCAAAGGTTTGAACTTTTCTTTGCATCAGTTATTCTTCGTAGGGTCTAAAAAGCTCAGGGCAGGTGTGGGGCTGTTAAGGCCTCATGGGGCTCTATAGGGTGGATGTGATGAGGTTGGATGACTGTGGAGCTGCATGCAGGCATGTTAGCAACACAAACATGGAGACAAAAGATAATGCAGAGGTGGATCTTAGAGAAGTAAAAGGGCTCTTGTACCTGTTGACTCACCTTAGTCCAAGGGTGTGCCTTGATCTGGGGAAATTTGAACTCGGTGTAGTTGGGGTTCATCTCGCGGATCTGCTCTCGGGTTGGGGTGCCGAGAACCTGAAAAAACAGGACAAAATAACAGGATGCATTACATGTCTTTAACATGAATTCCTATTCATTTGTGAAACAGAAAATAAAAACCTTTAGTCACGTAAATGAGGACTTTTATGCCCTGTGGGTCACCGCAGCCATTACCTTGATAATTTCAACCAACTGATCCACTCCACTGTCACCGGGGAAGATTGGTTGTCCTAGCAACAGCTCTGCCAGCACGCAGCCGGCTGACCACACATCTAAAAAGGAAACGGCAGGTCACCAACAGGAAAAAAAAAAAAATCGATTTGCACCAAAGGAGGGGCAGAGAAGACCCTAATCTAATGGTCTCATTAATATTCTTTTTGGCAATATGTGGTCTCTTTTACAATCTAATAAATCACAAGAAACGTAATAAAATCATTTAGGTGTTGAGGTTAAGCTTATGAAGTGGTTTACGGGTAAAGTGTTGACTGTGACCGCTGCAGTCAGCCTACCTATGCTGGAAGTGTAGTCAGTCGCACCAAAGATGAGCTCAGGGGCTCGATAGTAGCGAGAGCAGATGTAGGACACATTCGGCTCTCCACGGACCAGCTGCTTAGCACTGCACATACACAAAATAAAAGCACGTAATTATTATCATCACCATCCTCACCACACGCTGCTGCATTATGGCCCAAAGAAGCGAAGTATGAACCTAGAGAACATGATTCACACATGTGAGTAATGAATAAAATACACAATACTCCTTACAATTAACAGAATTTCAAAAAAGTGGGGTTATTGTAAAGGAACATTTTTGCCACATTTAAACTCTTCAGATGGACACGTTACAGCATCCACGCAGTGACTATCTGGAGTTTTGGTGCCATGATGAGGTTGCCAGGCAACAGCTGTATAGGTGCTGGTAGGCATAACTTGTTAACTTCAGGTAGAGCCAGATTAATGGCTTCCCCAGTTTCGGGTCTTTTTGCTAAGCTATGTGTGCTAGCTTTTGCTAAGCACTATTCCTAAGTGCCAGGAAATACCAAACCACTGCTGTCAAAACTTGATAAAACGCGGTGGGTCCGTCTCACCTGCCAAAGTCGCAGAGCTTGAGAACGGCGGTCTCTGGATCCAGCAGCAGATTCTGGGGCTTGATGTCCCGATGACAGATTCCAAACGAATGGATGTAGGCCAGGCTCCTGAACAGCTGGTACATGTATAACTACATAAAGAAACACACAGGTTACAATTACACAATTTACACAAACAGCTCAGTTTTTATTAAAGGGTTCAATTCTGGAAACAACCACTCAAGAATACATTTCAGGCCGGTCAGAAGAATAACATACGATACAACATGTATCAAAAAATTCCTGGACCTCGTTACGAGGCATTGAAGAAGACCGGTTTCTCCCCTCAGGTTCAATCTGAAACTGGTGATTTTGGTGGATGGTGCATGGGGATAAATATTTATACAAACACTAATTCTATGTTAGATGTAAATATAATTTCACAGAAAACACAGAATTCAAAATAAAAGCATCGTTATAGAGTTTAGTTATTCTTCTAAGCATCTTAATCAAGGTCATAATTTTCTTGTGAGAGGACAAATATTGCTTCCTTGTGTTAATATGGTGAGCCAATATGTGCGAGGGTTCCATTTCCTGTGATAATGAATATTCATATTGGTGCGTGTAAATAAAAAAGGTAACTGAGTGCTTCTTCTGCTCAGTAGAATTGATTAACTAGGTGTTCTTTTTTTCTATTATTTCAATGATATTGGAAAAATATTAAGAGACTGAAGAGACAGGCAATGTGCAGAGTTTTTTGCCTTTGCAAATTATTCTCACATTTGTCTCTCATATGTATCACAGCCAGAGAAATACTCGAAAAGTAACAAGTGATCTGTGTGCACGGCATGCAAACAAATAAGTTTCACACAGTGTGGAACACAGAAATGATATTAAGAGCCCGGATGGGTAGTATACAGCGCTGTGAAAAGGTCCAGTCCTACCTTTACATTTTGCATATTTTGTTGTACAAATGATAATACTGTGACAATGTTTTCTTTTACAGTAAAGCAAGAAGAATCTGTTTATTTTTGCAAAGTTAAAGAAACCCCTATGTCCCCTAGCAGTGTGGTGAAATTAAGAAAATGAAATGTCATTTTAATTATGTGAACATAGGTAAATTGTGTCAGTGAGAAAGTTTTGAACAAATATCATTTTACATCTTCTGTTACTTATAACTCATTTAGTGGACAGATGCAGGCGTTGAACTGAAATTCACACTCAGAACAGTAAATCTTTCCCAATGAAAGCTGATAGCAGGTCTAGGACAGATTTGAATCTAGAAAACAAACATACCATGTGTGGTACGTTTATGGATGCTTGAGGGTTCAGGTCTTATGTAAGAATAAATGATTACACTCTCCATACTTTGTCCAAACTTACACAGGGCATATACAGACGTCTGTCCTGTCCACTGTCAGGGAAGATAAACTGAAACGATCTTGTGTCTAATCTTGGTTAAACTAAGAGGGGGATGATTATTTATTTTGTATCTAGACTAAAACCATCAAAGTAAATCTCACATTCAACATTGCGCTCATGTTTTCAGAAACCGAATACATCCTCGACCTTAAAAATTCACTGAGACGTTGGTTTGATCCATTATTAGAAAAAGGAAACAGAAGTTGAGCAAAAACTGGATGGTTGTCCAGACATTTTGATGGCACTCATATTTGATTAAATATTGTTCCCAGTCTTGTTATAAAGTTACAAACACACGCACCTTGACATAAACCATGGGCAGAGTCTGTTTGGCCCGGCTGTAGTGTCTGGCCACTCTGTAGACAGTCTCAGGAACGTAATCCAGAACCAAATTCAGATACACTTCGTCTTTCTGTTGGAGAGAACCGAAAACAAGGAAATCAAGGTCACACATGCACACACACACACAAATGGGGAAAATAACTTCTTTATACAAATCTCTTATATGCAAATCCAATAAAAATCCTACACAATAAATTAAAAATCCTATTAATGCACACATCCAGCTGCTCAGTATGTATGCGTTATGTCTTTCCCTGCTGAAAGAAGCTGTTTGTGTGCTGATGTAACTGACGGGTTTTTTTGCATTTTAACTGGGGATCCATTGTATACGACTCATTCCCCGAGGGCCGGGAGCAACCGTGCGTCATAGCGGCCTGAACTCCGACAACGGCCATAGACAATGATATCATTTCCTCATTTCCTGGTTGGATGAGGCCTGCGTTGGAGGGCGGGCTTGGGCACGTTCTACAGAGAAGCACAATGACCCCAAAAGGATGCTGTATCTGAGGCTTCTCCACCCAATTATTCTAGGACTTCCTTTTTCCTTTGATTCTGACCAGACTTGGCAGCGCTGAGTCATTGGGTGTTTCTTGCGAATCCATTGTTTGAGGTCTACAAGTCAGGACTGCAAATCAGACTCATAGCTCGTAACTCATAACTCGCATACTCATTCATACATTCACAGCTAGCCTGTATGTCCCTGGTGGTTTGTCAGGAGGAAGTCTTGTCTGACACATGTTTGCCTGCTTAAAAGGGTTGGGTAATGGGACAGAAACAGGCTGGATCTATGCATAATAAAAGGTTTTGGGCTGATTTAATCACCGATTGATCGCCAGAATAAGTGCCTTTATACATTTCCTTCAAGTGTGCCATTATTATAGATTTTATCTTCTGTCCACAAATCCCATCACAATACCAAAACCAACAACGTTTTAGTCCATCCCTCAATACTTAAATATACCTCCCTCCTCTGTGAGTAATGGTCTTTAAAAAGGCTCACAAATACGGTTTCATTTTCTTAAAAAGCTCAGTAATTACTTAAAACAGCTGAGCACTGTGGTTTTTCATTTTAATACTTGTAAACAGCTCATTGGGAGCTATTTTTAGCAGTGGTTTAATACACATTTGGCGAGCTAGTGAGTTTTTAAAACAGCAATAACTGTGTGCAACAGTGTGGCTCATGTGTTTTTCATCATTTATGGACAACAAAGGGGGTAGAAGACAAAGATGGATAAGCTGTATAAGGAATTAGACACACAGGCCAGCTTTACAGTGTCTAAATATCGCCAGCGTTATCCTTTCAAATGTTACCTGCACCAATGTCCTAAAACACCTGCAGTGCTTTATTGTGAAGTGGCTTTCAATCAATGTGTATTGGCTCTGTTTAAGTGATTTTTAATCAATAAACTGTACTTTTTTTGAAGCAGTTCACTGGTTTTGAGTCATACTGGCATAGAGAAAAAAAAAATATCTTAAATTGTGTTCTGTGGTCACTTAATGTTTGAGAGGATAGCACTAGAGAGCTGAGCATCACCATCTGGGAAATGAACACCTAGTGCCTTGTGTAATAGTGCCAGTGACCAGTGCTGTTGACCAGTATCCAACCATTAAACACACACCTATGGTACATACTGCCTTGGGGTAATAACGCAGGGCTTCAAACTTTTGAATTAATTTAATTATTCTCTCCCTCCCATCCAGTCCAGGGCCAAGTGTCCATATCCTTTTGCCTCCTCTCCCCCATCTGTTAGCAGTGTTAACAGTCTGCCCAACATGCAGCTTAAGCGATGGACAGAGCTGGCTCCCTGCTAGTCTGCAAAGCACAATGAGAGAGCTGGGCCTGTGTGAAGAGCTCCCAGACAGACTGCGCGGTACACTTCTGTCAGCTCAATGCCCTGCTTTGTACTGACCGCTCTCTCCCACTCAATTTAGACACATATATGGTGACTGAGTGACATACAGAGGACTGGGAGATAGGCTGACACAAGTAGGTGCAGATATCAGTGACGATTCCTGATTTCCTAAAATGCTCTCAGACATTAGATCGCCTCGTTTACACACGTTACCCCCCTAACACACTGTCTGTGTGTGTGTGCACCCATTCTTCCTCCACTAGCAAAACTCCCATTGATAACATGTGTGTGACGACTAGAGGGCCCACTCCGCCTCCTGCTAGCGCCACCAAAGCTATATTTAGCCTAGCAACAGCGATGACTCACTTCCTGCCTCACTACAAAGCCACTTCCTTGGCTTGTTCCCAGATGGTTAGCCGGGGGCGGGGGGTCTGATTGGCTCCTGGCTCACTCCCGACTAAATAATTCTAAATAATTCTGAAGCCTTTAATTTGCTGAGAAAACAGCCTGCACCTGAATGACTGGCTCAGCTATCTTTCAATCACCGTGCTACGTTGTCCAGGAGAGAAGGGATAGATGGGAGTCTGTGTAGCATCTAACAGACAGTATACGTGGCAGTTTGCACAAGCAAGCATAGCCTCTCGCCCCTTGTTGAGTATACTCGACACATTAATTGACATAATACATATGTAAATCCACATGATTAGAGAAATGTGCACAACAGTCAATTAATGCATCTGGGTAATCTGGGAACACAGACAGAAGCCAAGAAGGAGGTAGACGTACATATGGTGAATGAATTATCCTTATTTGACACACACCAATGAAGACCATGCAACTTGGCACAACATATCTAAGAATAAATCTATAAATATGTGCAGGGGCCACAGCCAGATATGTGTCAGGCATTGGCTCTGCCATAAATCCTCACTTGTCTCTCACTGTTTCGTGACAAATCTGTAGATTCACTACACCAGACCTCGTTAGCCAGAGGAAATTTAACCATAGTCTGTCTATGAACGTCAGTATGTGTGGATGTATGTTGGAACACCGATCACTATAGAGCTACACTGTAATGGTGAGGGGGAGATTAACTTGCTAATAGGGCACCAGGACAAAAATAAGATGTGGGCCCATCCTGGAACATTTATTTAGAAATATGCACCATGTGAAAAGCAATAGAGGATTTTATCGCAGATATTAGCCCTTCAGTTTATATTCTGCTTTAGTGGTCCATATAAAGTTGACCCTGTTTGGGGCCCTGAGGCAGCTGTCCACTATCCATCCTAAATATGACATCTCAGTGGTTCATCATGAAACTACAAAGGAGGTGTCAGTTCTGCTCAAAGGCAGACAAAGACTTCTCAGCAGAGACAAACAGCTCAGGCATGTCCTCCGTCCACTCAAGCAGGTTGGTTTACTGCGTCAAGTGTGCAACTGCCTCAGGGCCCCAGACCTACAGGGGCCCCAACGTAGTCTGTTTTTCAATTATTTGCACATACTGTACAGTAATTTAATTGATTGCAGATTTTTATAGAAAGCTGCAATAATACAGTGCAATACCAACATTAGTGGGTTTGGCATTATTACCTAATCTTCTAGCCCTGTATCAAAAACTAGTTTTAAGAGCTTATTGTCTGCTTTATGTTGCGGGATATTTGTAAATAAAGGTGTATTTAATCAAATTACCACTCCAGTCAGTTGGAAAATAATTAAGCTTCTTTTAACAACTGTGCTAGATTTAATGTGAACTTGGGAATTTTTTTCCCTCCCCTTAGCAGATTAATGCTGCCATCCCTCCAATGGTTTGTAATTTTGTAATTCACATTACTAACATATACATATATATATATATATATAGAAAGAAAGAAAGAAAGAAATGTAACAAATCTTGAGAATGATTTATGTTTTTATGCCATCACTACTGGCGAAAACCTGAAGCTTCTTATTGTGTGGGCAAGAGAGTTGATGCTATGTATGTTTGTATATCAGAGAATCAAGTGAAGTTACTGAAAGCGATGTGTATAGACAAAGCGGAGGGTAACTTCGTGTCAGCTGAACGTCTTATGCACTCTCTTTGCGACAGCATATTTTGAAGAGATAAAAGTCAAACCGCTATTTGCCTACCTGCCTACGCTGTTTGGACCTGTGGCCTTCTGTTTGAACAGCATTATACAAGTGGTTAAAGGGTAAAAGCAAAAGCACACTGTGTGTGTCAAGCACGCCACATGCCAGGAGTTACATAAGACTACCTGTGCACATGCTGACGGATACAGCAGCAGTAGTCCTAGCCTGGCTCACAGCTGCACCCAGCATGAACCATCAGGACACAACAGCTCCTACACCCACATGACCTGACCACATCTCATCTCTGTCCCACCCTCTGCTTTTCTTTCCCGTCATCTATCCATCAACTTGTCTGAAATGTCTCCATCCACTAACCGCCCTATTCAGGTGACATTACCTTTTGCCTACTTCTCTAGCCCTCTTTCTTCTCACTCCAGGCTCTATGGGTGGTAAATCCCTGTACCAACAACATGGTGCCAGTCTCCATAATTAGCCTGGAGTGAGACGCTGAGGCGGAGGAGGAGGAGGAGGTGGGGGATGGAGAAATGGATACATGAAAGGGAACACAGGAAGGGGGATTTAAAAAGTGTAAAGGTGAAAGCAATGAAAGTTGTGGATTATCAAAATAACAAAATCCTGTGATTGCAAAAGTCAAGCTGGCAGGGTGTAGGTGTATCAGTAGTATACCGAGAATTAGCCGTGATTCCCAGAGGTCAGTGTGCACATGGCACAAGGCGAGGGGTGAAGCAACTGGGTGGGGCTTACACCACGGAGGGAGTCTATAATTAACCCATATGCCTTTGGTCTGGCAAATAGAGGCCCCTCCTACCCATCTCTCAGCGACCCTCCTCCCGCCCACCCTCACCATCACCTCTCCCCTATAATCCCCCACAGCTTTTATTGGCCTCAGTAAGTGTGCAACATGGAAGCATTCCTCACTGAGGTGTCATGGGTATAGTCCCAGCAGCGCGTGTGCCAAGTTCATGTCTATATTTGACACATGGAGCTCTGCCTGTTTGTCAGCTAGTTGAATGACATAGTCCAGCCTTGTAGTCTCCAGGGGACCTCCAATGGTCGAATGAGGCAGACATTAAGGCCGGGCCACGTTCAGACAGAAGGACTTCCCTGTCCCCCTCCCTTACCCCTGTAATGTAATGTACTGTACTGTACTAATGAATTTATTAAAAAGGCCCAACAGGCCAGGTGGAACATATTTGATAGGAGATGGTGCAGCTGGCAGAGAGTTCAAAAGGCAACAGAGAAAGAAATAAACTAAACTAAAACTATATCTTATAAGTCTTGAACATGGGAGCAAACTAAGTTATTTTACTACTCTGACTGAAGCAAAGCGCTCAGTCATTTAAACACACAGCAAGCCCTTGGAACCTTAAGGTGCTCTTGAAGAAGACAAGAAATACTCTTTAAGCAGTCTTAGACAGAACAAGGATAGAAACACCTTTTCTGCCTCTTTACGGCTATATAAATTTAAGTAATATAAACAGTGGAAACTGTAATATGTCAAATGATAGATTCATTGTTTAGATTTAACAATATATAGAGGAGAGGAAAGAAAGTTGCATTTTTGGAGCCAATGAAATGCAACTTTGATATTTTTCATTCATTCTTATCCAAGTATCCTTGGGAAAGACACTGAGCCCTGACTTGGTACCAATGGTCAGGTCAGTACCTGGTATGCAAGTGATCGGTGTGTGAGAATGGGTGAATGTAAGGCGCTTTGGATAAAAGCGCTATATATACGATATTGTTGTCAGATCAAGTCCACATAGTGCAGTCAGTTACTTAAAGGCTCAAACTCAACAAATGAATAGACCCAGTCAGGATATTCTTAGTGACTAAATGCGTACGATAGTATTTCCTATTCTGAACCCCCCATAATGTCGTACAGTGTGCTTCTATTTTCAAGGACAAGGTGGTTCACAGTTGCCTTCCACCTAAAAGAGAAAATAAGTGTCTGAAAAGACACAGACGCCTATAAATGTATCCATACATTGCTCTATTATATTACAATGAAGGATTTATTCATGTATTGTGTGGCTTGTCTTTGAATACATTAACTGAACATATTCAATGATTTTCTGAGCCTGGAAGGAATAGAATAGGTTGAACAGTCAATTGAAAAAGATTATTTGAACAAAACTGCTGCAGAGGGAAGTGGATTAGATATTCAAAAATCTGATTAGTAAATAATTTCTGGGTCTGAATGAAGAAATAGATTTATAAACTTTATATAAACCATGTCCTTAATTGTACTTATGGCTCAGGCTGTGTTTATATATATATATACATACATACACACACACACACACACACACACACACACACACACACACACATACATACATACACACACTGAAATAACATTAAATGTATGTATCTAAATAAAGACTTATATCTATAAATATAACCTTACTTTTTCTGTCGTACCTTTTTATTTTGGTGGAAATGCGCAACCTCTTCACCAACTGTTCAAACTAAAACTGCAGCGTGGTATTAAAACACAATTAATTATGCAGCCCTAACGCAAACCTTAAGACAAGCAGATGACGAATGAGAGGCAGCGCACTCAGCCAACTGACCTTGTCTCCACTGGAGTAGAAGAAGTAGCGCAGGCGGACTATGTTGCAGTGGTCCAACTTCCTCATGATCTGCAGCTCACGGTTCTGAACAAAACAAAGACAAGAACAACACATTAGTGTGATGTACAGAAATGTTAAGTGTTTTTTTTTTACCCATGTTACATGTCACTACCATGATTCAGCGGTAATGGCTGCACTATGGCCGTACAGAATAGTGCTTAAAGACACCTTAATATCGCTTTGTCTTATGACAGAAACACATATGCCTCAAATCACCTCACAAAACAATCATCTTGTTGTCAGTCACTGTCACAAGCTCAATGTGTCGGTTTGTCAGGAATCAGAAAGAGAACTGGATGTGGTAGCTGCAAAAGAATGCTAATAAATAGCAAACGGACATTCATTCCTTCACAAAAGGACAAATCCCACGGCCTCAAACATGACGACACACTTATATTTATTGTGTGGCATGTTGCCCGTTCCCATCAAAGGGCCCCAATAATTACAGAAAAAAAGCCACTGTAAAGCAAATCTCAACAGCAGAATAACTAAATGTGTTAAAATAAAAATTGTGTTGGGACCTGTAGTGTAATGAGCCACAGGCTTTCACAAGGCCACTAGAACAAAATGGACCTTGGTAGAACACTCAATCTATATTCATATACAGCGTGTCCATGCAGAAAATAGTTGTGCATACAGTATGGACATTCTCAAGGGTGGGCAGGAAATTCAAGCATTACATAAAGCTTTAACAGCTCCATTATAGTTTGTATTTTCTCCTCTTCTCCCATTTCTCCTTCCCTCCCTCCTCCTCCTCCTCCTCCTCCTCCTCCTCCTCCTCCTCCTCTTTATCATAGCACTTTGCGTTGACTTGATCTAAAGTGCTTGTGTAACTTTTGGAGAGTGTGGCTCCACTTTAAAAAAAAGTGAATGGAGAATTCAGAAAACAAAAAGAAAGCAGAATACAGGGACAAAAGTTAAAATCAGGCTATGAGTAGTGGAGTCATTATATAATAAGCAATTTTAACAGTAGAAGAAGAGTTTTTTTTTTACTATTGACTGACAAAAGCAGTGCAGAGCCTCCCTACTGACAGTAATGACATGCATACTAATATTCTGAATATGACGTTTATTGTCAGGTTTCAGTCATAATGTAGGATTTACATAAAATAATCACTATTATTACCTCATATTTGCATTAAATGGAAATAATTTCCAATCAATCAATCTAATGCAGGCAAACATTTTCAGGTCACTCGTATTTTGTAGTTTGGATTATTCGTTTCTGTGAACAGCAAAGTAAAGTATGAATTATGAAAGGGGAACCAGAGTGTAATCAGCTTACAGTGTAAATTTTTCAGCTGTATATTTCAACTGACAAAGTGACTAATCAGCAGACTAATTCCCAATCAGACAGACTGAGTACCAGGCTGCTAAAGGGCTAAAAAAGTGCTCAAACAAACAAGTGACAAATACTCTTACTGACAAACTATCTTTTAGCCTCTTTTACACCAACAACCCAACCTGGTACAGTGTGTTGGTTTCTGGGTGGAAAACGGGTCGATGAGGCTCTCGTGGCACGTGTAATTAACTGGCTGACCACAGAGCAGACGATGATGTGATGCACCGTCTGACAAGCATTTTGTGTAAACACAGGCCTCAGGATTGGTGTAAAACTGTAGCACACAGGTCAACCCTGCACCGGTTAACACGGATACAACACAGGACCTTGGTGTAAAAAGGAGATTTGGGAACATTTTCACCATTATCTGTCTATTCTATCATATTACAGATAAAACAATTAAAACAGACAACATAATCAGCAGATTAGTCGATAAAGAAATGAATCATTATTGCAGCAAAATAAAGAAAACTGATTGGCTGACGAATGAGATCCCCCGTTATGTGGGTCAGGACCACGCTGGCTGGCACAGGGAGATAGGCCGCTGTCCTTCCACACTTTTCTGCCACTTTATGAGGATTTAATCCCCTTTCATTCATTTTTTAACAGAGCAGAGTGAGCTGTCTGTCCACTAAACAAGACCTCATCATCCCAGCAGCAGCAGCAGCATCTTGTAGCTCGGTACCATGGTACAGACAATTCCCATCAGCCTAATTCACTTACAGGCAAACCCAAATGGTTCCCACAGTCCTCCCCCTGCATTTTCAACATTTACACAACTACTACCGACACACACACACACACACACACACACACACACACACACGCGCCACCCCCACATCATAAAGTGACATCACAGACCAGCCATCGAACCATCATGCACTGCAGGCAACGCCCTCGTCTTCTTGCAGTAGCCTAGTGGGAGTGTCTGTTTGTGTGTGTGTGTGTGTGTGTGTGTGTGTGTGTGTGTGCGCGTGTGCGTGTGTGAGAAAGATGGTACCATATGGAGGAGGAGCAGACAGGCTGTTCAGTAAAGCCCTGCCCAGCTCCAGTTATACTGCAGTCCTTCCTGCTGACCTGTCATCCTCCAGTGTGTCAGCAGCCCAGCCAGCAGAGACAGAGCGAGACAGATGGAGAAAACGAGAGAGAGAGAGAGAGAGAGAGAGAGAGAGAGAGAGAGAGAGAGAGAGCAAGAGAGAGCAAGAGAGAGAGAGCAAGAGAGAGTGTGAGTGAGTGAGTGAGTGAGTGAGTGAGAGAGTGAGAGAGAGAGAGAGAGCGCGAGAGAGCGCGAGAGAGAGCGCGAGAGAGCGAGAGAGAGAGCGAGAGAGAGAGCGAGAGAGAGCGAGAGACTACCTCAATTGCAGGCTGCTAAAAGTGCTACACCTTCATGGCGCTGATGTAGACTGTCAAACAAAACCACATCCAGTTTCCAAAAAGATGACGCAATTGCGTACCACCCACACAAAGACACACATACTATTTTACTGCTCTGCGTTAAGTGCCAGAATATATACTGAATGTTTTTTTGTATTTATTTTATTGTCAATAAATTCCAAACACGTGTAAATCCCCGGTCTCACTAGAAAAACACAAAATATGTGATTCTATAGGCTTGTTAATGTAGCGACGACTCACAGAGTTAGCTGGCGAGCTAACAGCTAACACACTACCTGCTAGCACTAGTCGGTCACTGTGAGTGTCGTTCTGTTTTCTCTTCTGTACTGGCCTTTCACTCGCCTCTGGCATTTTGTTTTCAGGATTGTGCAATATTTTGTTTAATTTTATTAAATTTTTTAAAAAGACGCATTTGTACCATTAACTCCTGTCCCATAACAGTCTGTAAACAATGTCTTTTGTGTTAAGCAGCTAATACATAGAAGATTCAATAAAACTGAATGCTGACACATATCTAATTTGCTTAGTCATTGGCGCTCTAAAGATTGTAAAGAAATTCACACGTCAACGTGTTTCCATGTTAAATGCAGGTGTAACAGGCCTTTAGTCCGTCTATGTTCAGTCTCGAGCCTGTTTGTTCCTACTCATGATGCAAATCTTTAAAAATAGGATCGCAACTACATAGTTTCATATTTAGAAAAGCTTAAGTAATTTCCCTAAACTGGGCACTGTAGCTTTCAGCAAAAGTTGCTCAAACTTGTTCAGTTACAGATTAATACAAATTTGGGTGTCAAATTTTACAGCAGCTGGAGGGTGTATGCGGGATTGACTAAAGATAAACTACAGTATCTTCGTCTTAGACAATACTTGTAGTCAGACAAATTCACTGGTGGATTTGTTGACAATAAGAAAAAAATGGAGTAAAAATCTCCTTTAACAATGTTGTGTAAGTGCCACTACCACCAGACATGCTCTCGTTCTGTGTGTGTGTGTGTGTGTGTTGGTTTTAATGCAAGCATCCATTTTCCAATAGGCTGATATGTGATCCCTCTGATGGGAGTGGAGGAGGATATATCCCATAATGCACCAGGAGCAGATTTTAAGCCCACCAAGACTGTCTCACAAAGTCATCAGCTGCACCCAATAACACAGAGCCTCTCACATGATTACCCTGTATGACTAGTGTGTGTGTGTGTGTGTGTGTGTGTGTGTGTGTGTGTGTGTGTGTGTGTGTGTGTGTGTGTGTGTGTGAGATGCATTCACACATGTTGGACTAGCATGGTTCACCTCACACAGAAAAAAAACAGAAGTGTAGAGAAAAGGCTTTAGAGACGGAGGAGAAGGAATGAGAAGAAAATAGAACGCAGGTGTTTGGGTATGTTTGCGTGTGTGGGGGTACACACACTTTATGGCGCGTGCTTGGCAGTCATGTGAGGAGTCTTAGCGCTAATTTGCCTCATTTTTCGTAACAAGCTGTTCACAAGGAAGGACAGGCCGGGGCAAGTAGAAGCAGTGAGACAGAACGGGAGACAGACAGCGCGAAAAACTGCTTAACTAGAGGGTCTGCTATAAAGAGGAACAAACAAGAAAAACAAAAAAAGAAAACAATAAATGTGATCTGCAGCGGACCACTGTTTCAGCATGCAACCTGGTTCCGTGTCATGCCAACCACAGGCTAACTACAGGCTAACAGGAAGGACAGGATATGACTTCATCGGGGCCAGAGTCACAAAATAGTGTGCGTTTTGTGACAGATGGTCAACCCCCCACGCACACACACCATTAAGTGACATCATTTATCTAGTCTGGTTTCAGATGGCAAAAAAAAAACAGCACCTGCAGAAAAACTGTACTGAACCCCAACAAAGGTTAAAGCGAGGGCACTGGGCTGCTGGAGTATTTAGCTGAACGGGATGGCTCAGCACAGTCCCAGGGCAAAAACGCTGCAGGGAAACACATCGGACTAAACTTTGACTAAACTTCGGGGACTCTCATGGGAAATGGAGACAGAGCTGGAGGTTGAGGAACAGGGGACAAGAGGAGACACATAGGCTTCACCTGCCATCTCTCTTCTCACGCCCTGACCCTCCTGAGCGAAACAAAGTAGACGTAAAACAACTACTAAGCCAGTTCGCATAGTCTGATCCTTTATACTAATTACAATTAATACAAGCCAAATAGGCACATTTGTACAAATCATATCACATAGCCTAATACCAGGCTTATTCTTCACAAATATGTTACACACACACAATCAGAAGGTCAGAGGTCCAAGATTATTCGCTTGTATAACATATCAAAGGTCTGACATCAGCATACTAACCCAGGCCTCGCCTCAGCAGGTCATTAGAATAGTTGGACGTTGTGGAATAAATGCTGATCTGCAGCGTAATACACGGTCCACAGTTGGGCTTGTGGATAGGAATATGGCAGTTATAGGCTGAGACAACGTGGCGCCAAAGGACAGGAAGGTAAAGCGGAGAAAATGTAATATATAGTGTTCAATTAAACTGATATTGATTCTAGATAAGTACCTCATACAACCCCACTCCAAAAAAAACCTGACCTCTCACTTTAAGCTACCACCAGACGCCAGTTAGGTTAGCTTGGCATAAAGACTGGAAACGCAATAAGTCGTTTCACACTTTAGTTTGTTTAGGGTCAAACAAATGACATAGCTTTAGATGTGCTGGTAGGTGGTTTTTGTTACGTTTGTACACAGCCAGACTAGCTGTTTTCCCCCTTTCCAGTCTTTTCCTGTGTTAAGCTAAGCTGCTGGCTGTGGCTTCTGTAAGTAAGCCAATAAACGTACTTCTTAAACTGTCAAACATTTCTTTAAAGGGGTCTCTTGCCAGTTTCTAATCTCCCGTGGTGTAATTAGTTGTTTAAATGAGCTGAAATCCAGTTCAGAATAGAGTCAAGGTGTGTTCCTTTTTCACATGTGGAAAAAAAAAAAACATAGTCACACATTATATTGCATCATCTTAACTGTGCACTCTGGCTGTATATGCTGGGCCTCGTACTGTAAAGGCCAGGGCATGTGTTACATAAAGTGTAAAGTGTAGTGTGTATAGAGGGGATTAATGTAACCCTGGGAATAAAAAAATGAGTGTAGGCCACCCTCCTTAATATAACCTTCAAGAAGGTAGGATTTACTCATAGCTGTTGTCTTAGACTAGTTTAAGTTATGTGTGCCTAATAGATATAGTGTGTATGCATAAGACCACTTACCCAACACCAACAGTAATATAACTGTTACACTGTGGACCCATAACCCTTCGACTCTGAAGACTATAAACTTAATGAGAATCTTAACAGCTGTCCTGCAGGTTTGGCAGTCTCAGGTCTTTTATCTGTGAGCTGTGAGCAAGCAGCAGGACACTGCCCCCCCCCATCAACAACCCATCAGTCAAATCTATTCAAAGCACAGGAGGAGGATTCCAGCAGAGCTTTGCTTGGAAGGAAATATGACGTTTCCACTGTGGCAACTGAACTAAACTTGACAGATGACTGAGTATCAATGGGTTCAGGTTTGTTTGTGAGAGAAAAGACCCTCCCACCTCTACCCCACGCACAGATACACACACTTCCTGCAAGAAAACACACACATTAAAGCAAGGATGTGTCAATTTGAGAGGGCTGAGAAGTTTTGCCTTTGTTTTCTCGTGTCCCAGCTTCACTGATCTGACTGTTCTTGTGAAAGATCACTCCATTCATGTCTCTTTCACAGTTACTCACATTCATTAATGCAACAACAAATCCTACTTTAGTTAAGTTGTTAAAAAAAAGGAGAAAAGAGGAGTATGAGTGCCTGTTTGTGTGCATCATTATCTTTAATACGTGCTGCTTTTCTCTGTCCTTTATGTTTCTTGCTTTTAGTTGACAAGTGAGACACTTGAGTAAGCTGAAAGATGGATTGTGTGTGCATGTTTTACCTTAAACCTCTTGTCTTGCAGGACCTTCTTGATGGCCACCAACTCTCCAGAGTCGCAGAGTTTAGCCTGGTAGACGACGCCGAACGAGCCGTTGCCGATCACCTTAGTGTCCGTGTAGCTAACCTCCTGTGGCCGGTCGGGGCCTTGGCCTGGAGTGGCCACGACTGTTGTTACCTTGCTGCCATCTTTATCCCCTAAAGACAGAGACAGACAGATAAGAGAAATAAGAATAAATGTGCACAAATTCAGCGCTATAAGGAGTGGTGTTTACAGACATGTGAGAGAGAACAAATTGATATATAAGAAGATGTTATAGATAAAAGCAGTACAAATCCAAAACCCAACCATATTCAATTTACAATGTCAAACACAAAAGCAGAGTGTCGTGTCCGGTGAATGTTCGTCATTTTGTTGTCATATTTTCAGCTCATCGCTTCTGCACTAATGATCGCTTCTGCCTTTTTCTTTTTGAATTGTGATAGTAGAAAAAAAAACAGGTTTTACTAATGACATTAACAATGGCTCTATTCTGTTCAAGTGTCCCAGTAAGTCATGACAGAGAGTCACCATGTCCTAGAGTAAGACCGGAGCTTTTAAGGGCAGAATAACCTCCTTGTCAGAGAGCTTATTTGTGATTGAAAGACTGCAGGTTTGAATGTCTGCCGAGAAAAATCAGAACAACATGTTTTTCCTAAAGCTACAGCCAGTTTAACCCCCGTTTGTTCCAGCAGTACTTCCTACTGGTCAACAGCTGTGGTTGTACTGGTAAGCTCCCAGTTGACTGACTGTGTGTGATTCATGGCTGAGCTGAAAAACACCATAAAATACTATATGTTTGTAGTGTTAAGGTCTGCTTTGAGTGAACATTAAATAACCAGAGGAAACAATAGGCGACGTATCTACCATGGACACAAGGACACTTGAATTCTACATTGCCTCTTTAAATGCTATAGATTATTATTTTTAAATCGGGAAGCAGAGGTGCTTTTATCCAAATCAATGCATCGAACAGGGGTTAGCATATAGTAGGCCTATTTTTCTGAGACTATCCCCACTACATAAGACTCATTACCGTGGACAGATTCACCAACCATGGTGTGCAGCGAGACCAGTGCAATACCTGGAATTATCATCAGTGAAAAGTCATAAGCTAATAAGACTCTGTATTTGATGCTAATGCACTATAGATCAGAATCAGCTTTCACATGCCCCTCCTCCCCTGGCTCCTGACTGGCTCCGCTCCCCTGAGATCTCAACGTGGAGCCTTTTTCCTGCTTAAGTGGGTTCTCTCCCTCCCCCTCCCCCTCCTCCCCCACAGAAGTGTCAAGGGCCAAAATTCACATCAGCTGTCAGTTAAAGGACATGAGTGTGTGTCGCGTGCCGTCAACGTGTGCTCCTGCTCCTTACTTCCAATCTCCGGCAGGCTCTCAAATGCACCCCAAAACTTCGACACAAGCACTGCGAATAAATCCTTCCACAACACGTGCCCTCCTCTCTAAATCTACTTATTAGACTTATTAGCATTCTCCTCCTTCACACAAACTGCAGCAGAAAAAGGCTGTACGCGAGCCCACGCAACTCCAAGTCTCAAAACATCTTTGTTAAACGTGTCTAATTTTAGGTGAGCTGCTGAGATAGTCAGGCGCAGCTCATAGTGGGTACAAATAATGCTGATGGGTGGATTAATGCTACTTAATAACCATGACTGTTCCCGATCAATAGAAACTTCCCCGCCCCTGCTCTAAACTCTGGCAAACTACTAGCGTGCGACTATGCGGGTTTCAAATGAACAAAATGATTTAGGTTAATGAATCCCGCAGGCTTAAATTCTTTTAACAACGTTTTGACTGAGATAGTAAGAGGTATACTAGTCTTATCCATTTTTAATATTCATTGGCTCTTTTTTCCAGCAGTGTTATTGATTTTGACACAAATAGTGCCTGCGTAGACATACAGACACACACACACACACATATGAGCAAAGAGCAAAAATAGATAAAACTACGCCTCCATGCTCCAACCCAGACATAAAACAATAATTTTATATATGTGTGTGTGTGTGTGTGTGTGTGTGTGTGTGTGTGTGTGTGTGTGTGTGTGTGTGTTGTGGCGCGCGCGTGCGTGCGTGTTTCCTTCTGCCAGTGTGTGACCAGTGAGTGGTCCAATTACTGAAGATGTGATTACAATCAAAAGGGAAAGGGAGGGGGTGAGGGTGAGGGGACTGAGAAACCACTTCACTCTCCAGGACTGAGTCTAGTAAGAGAAGCTGAAAATGGATTCTTTAACGACAGAAATAGACTTTCCAAAAGTGTGTGAGTGAGAGTGAGAGTGAGAGTGAGAGAGAGAGTGAGAGAGTGAGTGAGAGAGGAATATGAGTCTGCCTACATATTCCAGAAAGGCCATTTCTGTGACGCCTCTGCACTTCCTGAAACTGTGAGAAAAGTCTGTGCACACTCACACACACACACAGACAAAAACACTTACAACTTACAGTGAGATCTCACACTGGTGCAAATAAGAAATGACCAGGCAAGCAATGAGATTGCACTTGAAATGTTTTCCAAGTGACTGGTTAGAAGTCTGTGTGAAGCATGGCCGTCAGCACACTCACCTCCTATAGCCTACAAAACTCTGTCATCATTGGCTGATGTTCATACAGATGTACCTCCATTTCAGACTTGTAGAAAATTGTTCAAAGCTTTTTCTTTTGTTCAAGCTAGAAGCACCTTTCCATTCAAATAAATTATCCCCAAGTAAACCTTTCTAAAATAAAGTGTTAAAATGTCCCTTGGCCCCTATTAAAAAGGTATGCCACAAAAACTAAAATCACAAAAGCACAAACAGCTTGGAATATGTGCTTGCAGCACTGCCACGGCGACTCTGTCAATCAGCCTCCCACGACAATATAATTATTATGATAAAACACAGAGGATGATTTCACGTACATATGCTGCATCACTAAGCTACAAAGTGCCACAGAAGAGACAGCTGCTGCAAATTTTAGCCAGAAGCGTCAATAGTCAATTAAGGTCACCAGACTAGTTCAGGACACAACTGAATATGACTAACATGCGCACACAATGGGGCCAAAACATCACCAGTGTCGAACAGTCGCAGGACACACGCGGGTCTAGGAATCATTTCAAGTGAGCCGCTTTGTTACCGATACCAAAATGTGACAAAACATTCTACAAAATAAAATGAGGAAAACTTACCAAATTCATCCATGTTTGTCTAAACACAAAAACGGTGCAACTCAAGCGATATGATCCAAGTTGAAATGAAGAAGACCAAACATTTAATGCCAGCTTGTCAACGCAATTAGTGCAAGACACAATGTTGGTATAATGAGCTTAAATTAGGGTAAACAAGATTTTGAACTTTGTTCAGAAATAATCATTTAGACCCTGTTTTTCTGAAATGCATATGTGCATCAGTAACATCAGCATCACACACAGCTTGGGAACTTTGAGTGCACAGTTTTAAGCTTTCAATCTGTGCACAGGAACCTAACTGTTGATCAAATTTCAGCACAAAATACATTTTTTGTCTCGCTAGAAAATCGTTTCTACTAATTGGTTACAAACTTGACTTTTATATGCTGCGTTTTCTCACAGGTTTATAGTGAAAGATTTTGAAATTACTTCATGATTTTGAAAGCTGAAACATTTTTGAGCATCATGTGAAATCTTTTCTTACTAAAAGTAGACTAAAACGCTGCCAGTCTGGCATGATTATACTATGCCGTCTGTTCGAGACACACGCCCAAAAAATGTGACGTTATTAGTAAAGTTGACTGGCTGTTCAAGCAAACTATATGTTAATAAATAATTGCCTTCAGATTGATATCCAACATGATAGGATCCCTTAATACTGAAACTCAACTCTCTTCACTTATATCCAGAGGACCATTAATAGATGTCTATATATGTGTTCTATCTATTTTGTCTGGCATGAGAGTCAATACATGAGCCCCCTCACTTTCGAGGTATTATAGGGGGAAAAATGTGCAGTCTTAATCTATGAGAGACAGGTTGTAGTTGTAACATTATTCATGTATTTTCTGCAAGATGAGGGATCATTTTCACACCGTTCACATCGAATCACTACGATTGAATGTCACATAATGTGCACCTGCCAAACAGTCCCCATCCCCTCTCGGAAACACATGCAATCACATGCATATATACAGCGTGTATTAACTTGTAATATAACACACACACACACACACACACACACACACACACACACACACACACACACACACACACACACACACACACACACACACACACACACACACACACACTTCAAATACTGAGGCTGAATACTATGATCTTACTTTCAGTCGTTTCAAACCAGGAAAAGCACTTACTTACATGGATCAAGACGGAGTCAGTGTGCTCGATGTATGACCAGCTCTCAAAATATAAAATGCGTTTCAGCTGCATGGTAGCTGTGGACTGCACGGCAAAGTGACATTTGGGAAGACTGTATGAAGAGATTTGCTAAATTCCTAGATGACAAGACGGACTATGCCACGAGCAAAAGCATAGAACTGGAACTTCTAGTCACAGGAATGTCACCGCTGACAGAGACATTTGGCTAAACAATGCTCAGATCAAGACATCAGTGAGGTTTTTGAGCAGACTTGTTGGGGGTGCATAGATTTTTGATATCAGGCCGCAGAGCCACAACTTCCCACTCCTGCAGTCACACTGAAAACACCCAATGGACGGAATTATCGCCTTCTCATGTCTCTTTCCCCTTAAATCTCAGCTCTCTTTCAAACCCTGTGAGTGATTCTGATGCTCCTTGTGTTGTCTGCAAGCCCTTTATGTTTCATTTTGGAATCAGAGAGTCTAATTAGTTCATTTTGTTCCCATCATCACTTGCAAAATGTGAGAGAGGGACAGAAAGAAAAAGGGGAAAGAGGGGGAGAGAGAGAGAGAGAGAGAGAGAGAGAGAGAGAGAGAGAGAGAGAGAGAGAGAGCGCTGCAGCTTTGAAATGCTAAACAGGCCGCTCGTTGTTCTTGGCCAGCTGCCTCACCCCAAAAAACAAAACCAAAGAGTGCTCATGTGGGTGTGCAAGTGTGTGTGTGTGTGTGTGTGTGTGTGTGTGTGTGTGTGTGTGTGTGTGTGTGTGTGTGTGTGTGTGTGTGTGTGTGTGTGTGTGTGTGTGTGTAGGAGGGGTAAGAGCATTCTCTCCAGGACCATACACACTGGCAACAGCTGCTTGAGAAAATCAGCCAAGTTATTCACACACACACACACACACACACACACACACACACACACAGCAAGTGCAAGTGTGTGTGTGTGTGTGTGGGGATGGTGGAGGTAGATGACATACTGGAGAGAAAGAGAACACAAGTCTAAGGTGGCATGGTGTTATATAAATTCAGTCCAAAGTACAATCCTGACACAGCTGACATTGCTAATTATTACCTATAAATGACAAATCTGATTTAAGTCAAGACGATAGGATTTATTTTATTTTTTTTACAAAAGCAATTACTTAACTCATTAATCAAATAATTGTTTTAATAAATATCTGGTTTCCATTGACTTGAATAATAACAGTGACAGGCATTGTTACCACTTTTTTTTCTTCAACCATTATTTATTAATTGATGAAAATATATCTGCAGATTAAATAATAATGAAAATGCTACTTGCAGGTCTACATTTGTGCTGGACAGCATCCTTCAGACAAAATCAGGTCACAACATTTTGGAATGAGTACTTCAACAGCGATGAGACATTATACACGTGGGTTTAACTATCAGTGCTTTCATGTTTGCGTTTAAACTAAAGGGTGAATGATATACTGTATAGTATCTGAAAGGTCTATAAGTACTATGGATGTGATTGCCAAGAGGTCACTGTCGTTTCACTCGGAATAAATTTGGTCCAAAAACTACTTATTTAAGTGTGACCTTTAAGCTTTAAGACCAGGAAAGGACAACGTTTGAAGTACAGCACATCATAATGTTAGGATAGCCATAGAGCTTATATTTCATTATTCATATCATGTCGAGGGGTAGCCTCGCCCAGAACAACATTTATAGGCCAGGGCATCTCTTCAGAACTGCAGTACTTCATTATAATGCTGCTTTGTGTCAGATTTTACCTTCAGCAAAAAGTTGCAGCGTCTGTGATTGACATATTGCGATTTCGATAAATTGTGCGACCACAGGTAGAAGAAGATCCCAAAAAGTAGGCACACAAAGCCACAGTTGACAGTTAGCACACTTGTCCTTTAAAGCCGCCTGTGTAAAATACAGTTGGCGAGATCATTACATTCACATATTGACTGATGATCACAGGGGACATCTGCACAGGCAAGTACTTTCCTCTACGGGGCCGAACACCACCTGCTCGTAGAAATCAAATTATTTAACACCCAATAAATTGGGCGACTCCGCTTCAGCCTTTAATGACTGATAATGATGTATTGACTTACCAGATGAGTCTCTGGGAGAAAACTACATTCAGGTTGAGAAACCACAGCAAAAACACTGGTGTAAACCTATTCTAATGTTAAATCCGCAAGGTCAGCCTCGCATTTGGTGCTAATTCAGCAGCTTATTTCTGAACAACAATTGGGCCAAAGACTTGAGTCCTCTAAGTCTTACATTTAGCCAAATTATCTACAACTGCACAGCATTTTCCATTTGACAGCAACATAACCATGAGTGGTACACACTGATAGGAACACACCAATGCCATAACACCAATATCTGGGGCAAGAGAAGTATTAGATTTGGGATGAGAGTGAATATCCCTGTGCGTGTGCGCGCGCATGTGTGTGTCCTAGTCCACTGAGTGGTTTCTAGTGCCAAGGCCCAGAGGAGAGCCTCAGCCTCAGGCCTCACCCCACTGACACACATCATGGTCACATCACAGCCCAGAAACACCACCAACATTCCTTAACAGCCTTATTACAGCCTTATTACAGCCTCACACACACACACACACACACACACACACACACACACACACACACATAATAAGAAAAGGGTGTAGCTAGGTATAGTAGACCTCTCCAGGTAGGACAGTCATTAGTCATTAATAATGTAGATATCCCAGGTAACTTAATCATACTTTGAACTTGTAGTATCTGCAATCTATGACTGACACACACACACACACAGATAAAATGCCTTAAGATGCCAGTTTGTAGATTGGGAATTTAACAAGAATCATAACATGGAAAGGTGTGTGTGACAGGCCTGGAAATACTAGCAGGGATCATACAAAGCAGAAATTAAAAGAGATCTATGGACCAGCACCGGCAGGCTCCCTGGTTCTGCAGGTAAGTTCAGGCCTAGAGTCGCATGTGCTTCCTCCCTGCAGACAGTCTATGACCAGCCTCCGGCGCGGTGCCACTGTGCCACTTCATGACCAGGATGTCTCACACACTCCAGTCGCGACGCCTGATTTCGACACGGCCCACAGACTACAGGATCAGTGATCCAGCCTTCTCCAGGATCACGTCAGTTTCGCCCGAGTCAACTATGGGCGCACCTTCCGCTTTGACAGTTGCGTAATAGACCGGCCCTATCGCTTTAACTCCGTTACGCACACGGTTGCTGCTACGTAGCAACGCCGCTGTGAGACCTAGTGTGCAACCGAATGGACAATAATCACACCGGATCTGCGGTAAAAGGAGAACACTTGGTTTCTGACCCTGGGCCGGAGCCAATACTACCTTCCCTCTGGCCAGGCCCGGACCGGCGCGGCCTGCTGGTCAGGCTGACCGGTCCCTGGGCGGCGCGTCAGAGCGCAGCGGTGTGTGTGTGTGTGTGTGTGTGTGTGTGTGTGTGTGTGTGTGTGTGTCACACCGAGGCGAGCAGCGTACGAGCTGCTCTCATCGGCCAATCTCAGCCAGTGACACAGATATATGACAGGGCTAAGCTATCCAAAAGCTAACGTCATGCTCGCTTGAGACATTTTCCAGCCCGGTTTAGAGAGGAGACATTTTGCGAGCATATGTAGCCCACAGTGGGCCTGTGCATGCAGAGAAAAGGTAGGCTACTCTAGAATTACAAGGGGGGGGGGTACTTACTGCTGACTTTCATGCTGCCGAAAGCCGAGGGCTGCGGCACTGGTTTGCAGCTCTCCGCGAAGGATGTGGTCCTGGGCCGACCCGACATGATCCGGATCCCTTTTGATTCTCTCTCGACTTAGGGAGACTGTGACTTGCTAAACGGCGGGGCGGATCGATTCGCCGAACCGTCTCATCCAAAAAAAGGATGACAGTAAATGAATATTACTATAATTCACACAGGAAAAAGACAGGCAGAGAGTGGATCCCCCCCCCTTTTATCCCACGATCCTTCACTCTGGTTCGTATCGCCTAATAAAAACGAGCCTTTCTTATCCCACCAGCAGTCAAATCACAGCATCATTCACTCCTTTATATTCCAGGGGTTTTTTTTTCTTTTAGCGGGGCTTTGAAGACACGTCTCCGACTAAAATAGTCATGAATCTGGCCTCTCCCTGTGGCCCCCCGGTTAAAAAACCAAATGCTATTTCTTTCTGGATGCGGAATCAATTTCACACAGATGAAGAAGGGTGAGATCAGATGTTAAAGAGTGCCGATCCGGTGCGGATCAAATGTAAATGCGGCGTTTTTCTTGACAATTCGGGACACATGCAGTTTCCTCTTCATATCCCGATGTGGAGGCTCAATGATCCGACTGCCATGGCGGCTCCCTCGCTATACCCTAGCCTACAGACCGTCTGACGGAAAATCTGCCAGTTGCCACAGTCTTCTTCAACCAAATTCAGGGGCTTTGCGGTGACTCAAAATCCGCCCTCGTCGCCGTCAGATTGCGGTGTCTCTACCGACGCCCCCGGGGCAGCGACCTCTCCGGAAAACGATGGTCTTTAAGCACAGAGTGCGACGATACTGAATTTCTTTTTTTATTCCTTCCCCATAGGTTTCGGGCTCGCTGTCTTTGTCGCTGCGCACGCTAGCTGCGCAGTTTCCGTAAAAGGTTACAAGGATGGCTCCGCCGTCGGGGAGCGAGGTTCACGCCGTCGACGTAACCCGCGAGGGAGAATAGGAAAACTGTGAACGCGTAAACGGCGAATCTGGGGTGGCCGAGTTCACCAATCACAGAGGGTATCCTTCAGAAATGGGCGTTGACCGTGCGCATCTGGTCCAATGAGAGCGACGCTCTTGAGCACCACATGGCACAATTTGCCTGGCACCGCCCTCGCGACTTCAAAGGCTTTTCCCCATGCCGCGACAGGGACAATGGGCGGGTCTGCTTCCAGGATTGATGAGTAGGTCGGCCAATGGGGGTCCTACATCCGACTGTCAGTTCAAACGGACCCAGCTGTCACGGAGCACCGGTGGTCATGCAGCACTGTTGCTATGTTAGTCACAAAAGCCCATCCTCTCGTTTTTCTTCCACACCTTTTTATGCTCTCAGCCCTCTGGCACATACATTTAATTACTGGCATAATGCTTAGTAATTGTAATAAAGTGTGTGTGCATATGTGTGCATGGCTGCCTTGTCATGGCAACACTTCATTCAGGTTAATTTCACCTCTATCTTTATATGGTAGCCTTATACTTTCTAGTAAGGTTATAAAGGATTTATATGTTGTGACTAATTGCTTTATTAATGGTAGGCTAAATAAATAATTTATGCTTATGCTTTGCTTTTTTCTCTCTTTAAGTTTATGCACATCATCATATCACTCCCTTTGCACTACCATCAGCCCCACTACTACCAACTTCTAGTGATATAATACAGTTATACTGTACATATTGTATATATACATACGTGTATATACATTGTATAGGCTATATACATTTCCTTTGTAAAATAAAGAGCACATTCTTCTTTTTTGTGCCATTATAACTGTTTTTTTTATTAGCTTGTTCTATTTAGAATTTTTACTTAAGATGAGTTTTTTGCACATGTTATGTGTGCATATCATGGCATTATTTCACTGTCCATTCCTGTATTGTGTGAGAATAAAGCTGAACCTTCATTGTAGGTACTAACACATTTTGGGTTGCAATGTTGTAAAAACCCATTTTGTTGTTTTGTTGTTAATAACAAAGTTGTTTGGTCCACATCCTCTGCAGCCGTTTTTGCAAGGTGGTTATACTGTACAATTAGTCAAAAGGATTTTTCACAATCTGGCAACCCAAAAATGTTTAACTGAACAACAAAGTATTAGTAAATGATTTATTAACCATTAATAAAGCCATTAGTTACAACTTTTAACCCCATTATAAAAGATTACTTATTAGAAAGTGCTATCCTTTATGCTTCTCCAGTGACCTAAAACCACTTGAGGTGAGGCCTGCAGAACTAATCGCCGTCTGTTATTCAGTTTGTTTGTTGAAAGTTCAAGGATGTAGTGTAAAGCCATGGTATAATGTGTTTTTTTGAGAAATAAATATATGTCTAATTAACTGACAACTATTTTTAATGCAGAATTCCTCAATATGTCAGTAATTTCCAGCTTGAACAGAATGCAGGTCACTTGTCTTAGCTATGCAGAAGAGTCTTTCCTACTGCAGAGTGATGCTGGTATTCTGTCTTTTGTGTGGTTTATTTATACTCTGTTATGCTCTATATCAAAGGGAATTTCTCCCAGGCTGCCCCTCCATGGTCCATATGCAGAACAGAGAGCAGAAGCATCCAAAAGCAGGCAGCAGAGCAGAAGTAAAGTGAGACACTGTTTTTTCCCTTCATATAGCAACACCTCCTCCGGCAAACACACATTTTCCCATTAGCAGAAGAAAAAATATACACAGAGAGGAGATAGTGGGAGAGAGAGAGTGGGAGAGAGGGAGAAAGAGGCCAAGACAGGAAAGTGTACAGTGCTTTTGTCTGTGTTGCAGGAATGTCGTGAAATACTCCTGAATATACTCAACTATCTCTTCTATTCATGATTAAAGTCACATGACACGGAAGCTGGAAATTATTCTAATTCTGGGAAGATGTCGGGCAAAAGTGGTCAACTGCCCCATCCGAAAGTTCCATGTTTATGTAGGAAATACTACGTTTGGATGGTATTGGATGGCAGAATGAACACGAAGTGGTGTGGAGTTTCTTTTGAAAAAACAAAAAATCAAAGGGCAGCAGGGCACACTCATACTCACACGCACAAGACATACACTCCAGATAACCATGACTTTTGCACATTAAATACTGTTAATAAAAAAATCAAGAGTAGTAAAAGTGACAGCAGTGAGCTTGTGTTGCATGTGGTGTCTCATAACTGGAAGTATCTGACAACAAATAAAGAGCATTGTCTACACTATGTTGGAGATTTTAACAATAAAGTAAACTCAAATACAACAAAATGCAGACATACAATAAAATGGAAGAGCAACATTTTAAGGAATGTGTTTGACAATATAAAACAGTATAAAGGAGACAGAAAGTAATTCTGTACAACAAAACATCCACTAATAAATAATAAAATAAATACAGCATTTGCACAATTCTGACAGCAGAAACATAGCTACAAATAATGTCATAAGTAATATCAAAAAAGAAACTGCATTGTGTTTCTGAGCTACAAAAGTTTTCACAACTCTAATAGTCTCACAAGTAAAAGACCCACTCCGTCCCACAATGCAAAATTCAAGAATACTAATGGTCTTTTCAGGCAGAATGCAAAACACATTCCTATTGAAGGCTACAGTCAAATTATCTCCCATTGTAGATGCACATTAGCTTCATGCGCAGTCAAGTCTGTGCCTGCTTTATCCTCATAGCTAACTGTACTGTATTTCTTAGGACATGAATACATGTGGTGGAAATGGACGAACATGTAAAGTGCGGTAAACCTGTGCTCATACAAAGGTGGGTTTGATGTCTTCTTTGAATACCACAGGGTGTGGGGAGCGGTACAGGCTGGTGTAGCTTTCGTACTCGCTGTCAGAGGAGTCTGAGGAGCTGTCTGAGGACAGGAGAGAGCCTTGCTGCAGACAGGAGTCACAGTACGGACGGTGGTAGTAACAGTAGTCTGTTGAGCTGCTAGAATCAGAGTCCCAGGACCCACAGGAGTCCCTTATGTGTCTGTGGCGCTTCTCATTGTCACCACGAGCTTCCACGTCAGGTGGAGCTGTGTGATCGCGTTCTGCACAGGGCAACACTGAACGTCTGTGGGACCTTGAAACACACCTCCGACATTTTCTTATCACTTCATTCCCTTCCGCATCCTCCTCCTCCCCCAGCTCAAGGTCAGTGTTGTGACCTTGGAGTAGGGTACCATCCACAATGACCCCATCTGGGCCCCTGCCTGAATTTTGGTGTTCACATTTGTCCCTTATTCTCCCACAACCGGCGGCCGCTGAACCTGTGTAGAAGCAGGCCAAACCTCTTCTGGAAGAGTGAAAGGGTGGCCGACGTTTCCTCATCGTGTAAGGGGAGATGCTGGGGTAGCGGAAGAGAACCGGTGGATGAGGGGAGCGTGGTGTCCGCAGGGAGAGAGGGGAAAGTGCGGAGACTTCACTAAATTTTAGCTGAGAAGGCGTTCTGGACGTCTGACCGGGAGATCGAAGCGTGGTTTCCATGACTGCATCCAAACTCAGCTCCTGGAGGATCTCCTGCAACTGCTCGCTGCTTACAAATCCAGTCGGTCTGGCATTTGGTCCCAGATGAGATGTTAGGCCTCTCTGATTGTTGAAAGTTTCAACTTGAGAAGGATTTAACCGTCTACGGGATTGTATGGAAGTAACAAAGTGAACTGTCTCTTCTGCTGTCCTGAGCAAGCCATGGGACTGGGGGGGCAAGGGCTGTTTGAGGTCCTCCCCTGTTATGGACTCAGCTGTGTCTCTAGGGCCAGCGTTAGACACACCTCTCTGGTTTTCACCTGCATAAATATTATCGGGGAAAGGAGATGAAGCAGCGTTAGGGGTTGAGGAGTTTGGAGCAGAGGTTGGCTCAGAGGACAGTGTAACAGCAGAAGATGAAGCAGCAGCAGCAGTGAGGTGAGGGGAGAGATTTGATGGTAAAAATTGGGATTTAGTGTCTCTCTGAGGTAGAGAAGAAGAAGAGGGACCGTCAGACTGAATCTCTGTGGTCTGAGTACAGGAGGAGTTGAGGTTGGTGTTGGAGGAGTCCATGTCCTGGTCCTCGGGGGCCGGCTGGCTGGCTGACATGAGTCGCAGGAGTTTATCCTTGGCGTTGCTCACCTGCTCCTGCAGACTGTCGATGACAGCGTTCTTCTGAAAATTGTCATCAAAAACAGAAGCTTAGATATTTTGAGACATACATAGAAAATGTTAGAAAAATCAATCACTAAAATAGTTTAGACACAGCAATCTATTGCCATTTGATGATTGAAATCAACAGAAATATGGAAGTGAAGTTCTAGGAGAAGGTTGTCAACATATTGTCAAACAGCTGGTGTTAATGTTAATAGGAAACTAGATCTGTCTTGTTTCAGCTAAACTATTCTTGTAATACATATGTGTGTTTATAGTTCTGTATATTGTGTATTTCCACCTGGACAGTCCTTATCACCTAATTTTGAAACATTATTTCTTTGTTTAGTTGGATTCCAGATTAATGTGCGTTTCAGTATGCCTGCTCTTGAGACTGCAGTAAATTGTTTTTGTGTTTAATACATGAGATTCAGTGACCAAGTAATTAATGTAGAGTCTTGATAAATCCAAAAATATACCCAAAGCATATTCATTATTTGTTAAAGCAGTATAAATGTGACATATTTTCTACTCGCATGTGGATATGCAATTATGTTATTTACTCAGTTTTAATCAATAAAAAAAAACTGTTAGCAGAAGGCTAAAAGTAAAAAAAAAACAAGCTCTGTTATTGCTAACTATTCAGAAAATAACATTAAGGAGAAGGGTAACACACAGATCTGCACCATAACATTATGAGAAGTCCTGTGTTCACATACATTCTAATTCATATATTTTCTTATTGAATGGTAGAATTTGTGAAAAAACCAATGCAGTACCTCATTAATGAGTTTTTTCATGGAGCTGTTCTCCCCCAGCAGGTAGTAGATCTCATCCTGGCTGTACACCGAGGGCTGGCTCTTACTGGGGCTGCTGAAATACTTGGCCATCTGACTTGGGTTGTTCTGATCCTCTTCAAACTGCCGCCACTGGGTCAGCTGAATGGTGGCGAGTGTAAAATAAATGCACAATACATTACACCAAGTTTCAGCTAAAGACACCTTACACACCCTAGTAGTAAATGTTACCGGGACCATTTGACACAGGATCTTCTGACCAGGTGTATTTGAGCGTATTGCTCACTGTTCAAATATTTCCCCACTTTCCACTCGAGACGCATTCCTTTTTTGTAACATAAACCCACTGCCAGACACTTAGAGAGTCATAAACCTGTTTGCAACAGCCTACGTAATTTTGAGTCATAAACACCTTCTGTGTGAGTCACACTCCACTGATAGACATGGCAAACTGATACGCATATGGAAAATGGAAGTGTGGGCACCACAATCACTCATAGAATTTACTACTTTTGTCAAAACAAAAAGAGAGTCATACAAGCATCTCTCATTCATGTGTCTGTCTGTCATACATCTCTGTAGCTACAGTTTCTGCCTGTCTGGCTGACTGTTTTTAATGCTGGTTTCCAGACATAGAATCCAATGATTTGATGACAGTTCTGTCTTAAAAGTAAACCCACTCTCCATAGTGGTTGTTCTGCTTGAGAGATACTACAAAAGTGTCAGTGTCATCACCAGAAACAAAGAGATGTTGTTTTTTCCAAGGTTAAAGAAGAAATCTGCACTTTCTCCAAAGCTTGCAACTAGAAACTTTTTTTCATACATCTTGTTTGCGTATTTTGAGTTGTTTTATTCTTACCTGAGGCACAAACAACATGCAGTTTGTAGCCAGTGTGCAGATGAAAATGGCTCCAGCCACAGTGCTGTAGACCAGGTTGGGCCAGGCCTGCAGGAAGATGGACACAGGAACGGCCACAGCCGAGGAGAGGGTGACCAAAGTGACGACTGTTATGATGGTGGGAGATTGGTTGACTGGAGGGTGGCTGACATTGCTGGTCAGCCCTGCTAGATAAGTCCCATAGAGAAGAAGACAACCCTACGGAGAAATGCAAGGACAAAGTAAAGACAAAGCACAAAAAAATCCATGTAGACTATGACATTAAGTAAAGGCCCTCTTTTTCAGAATTGTACGCAGTAGTAATAAATGATTGTAAAAGCCCTGTCCCCTTTAGTCTTGAGGCAGATTCCTGCCTGAGGATCGGAGGCTGCGCTCTGGCTCATAAGGGAAGCCGCTAAACCACAAAGTAATTAGTAAAATCATGAAATCAATTCTAAAACCTGCTGCTAAGCTGTTAAGACAGGCCAAAACAGGGCTGAAAAGATCTTGTCTTCTTGTTAGCTGCATTTTGTCCTTGCCAAAGGCGTGAGTTTGTTTTTTGGCTCAACCCTGAACACAATGAATTACATTGATCTAACTGAGATTAAATAAAAGTATGAATGACCTTCTTGAAATCAGCAGAAAAATCTGCATAGGGCTGCTCCTCACATGATAAAAACATGACTGAACAACTTGTGTTACATATTCAAATACAAGGTCACTGTCAAATTGTATTATTTCTACGTTGAAACAAGTACGTCTGCATAAAATAAAATGTAAATCAATCAATCATATCACCATACCAATGAAAGCAGTCGTTCTACATTTCAATAGAAGAAAGGTTACTTACCTTCTGAACAGCAATGATGATAACCCACAGATCCGAGTATACAGACGCACAAGTGTTCAGCCTTGACAAAGAGTAGGAAATGTCTCTCTCCACCACCTAGATCAGGAAAAATCCTCTAGTATCAGTAAGGTGAAACCAGAATAAAGTTTGCTATGCCACCAACTTATCTATAATTAATTACATTAATGTAGGAGAATGAGGGAATATGTGCTTTTGTAGTCAAAAATCCAACTTCCTAACATCATACTTCAGTCAGGACCACTTTTGTCAAATTAACTTTTATTCCAAAGCAGAATATTACATTTGGCGGTATGGCTCTGTTCTGGGACCTCCTTGCCCTTCCACGTGCCTACGTGGAAAACCTTAAGATAAGGAGAGCGGCAGCAGAGACCCCCCAGGGTACAGAACAGAGCAAGCATCAATGGCAATCAGAAAATGACATTGATTAATTAGATACAACGTAAAAAGGAGGAGTTGGGGTGGAGGTGGGTTGCCAAACGGCTTGTAGAGGAAGCAGCAAAGATAGTCAGGCTAAAGCAGCTTAAATAAGGCGCCATGAATGATATTTGCCAATTGGATGCTTGAGGGAATCAGCTGAGCCATCAGCTGACTGTGTATGCTTTCCAATAGGAAGCTTAGGAGGAATCAGCTGAGCCATCAGCTGATGTGTGTTTACGACTAGCTGTGATCATCTGATATAGCTGGAATTGAGAGCTGAGCCTGACTTCGTGGCCTGCCTGAACTAACGCTATGCTTAATAAGTGGTATATGTCATAATGCTGACATTGTTCTGTAATCAAACAAAATCTTAACTTGTTTTACAACTTGTTTTTCAGACAAAAACAAAATCACAATTTAATTCTACCTTGACAACAGCGCCTACAGATCGTGAACACCTGATTGGGTCTGAGAGGTTCCAGGCAGTGAGAACCAGCATGTCCACCAGGATCAAAAGAGCCACCATGCCCATCAGCTGGATGTCTCGGATGATCTGAGACAGAAAGTCACCAATCACATCAACGTCATACAGAATATTGTCATTATACAGCAATCATGTATCTGTGTTACATTAGCCAGACAACAGTTGGGGGATACAGGAAGTCTCGTTTTGAAGTGATACATAAAAGGAAGTTATAGAACAAACTAAAAAGCTCTCAAACAGCATTAATGAAGACTTAACAATCATCTAAATTTGTAAATCCTCAAAATTCACAGAGAGACATCATTCTTGCATTTAGATCATCGTACATACTCAAACTAGAGGATACATGTGCCCACATTTGTTCTTTTATATAACAGCACTAGTTAGTGAGGTTATAACAAAAATGTCCATAAATCTTCAACGGAAAATTCAGCTGAAATTTCTTTCTTTGATATTTTCTTTATTGCATTATTTCTAGATGTCTTGCTCACTGCACAAACAACCAAGACCAAAACATAAGTAAAGGATAATTAAATTTTCATTTAGGAACTATGCATAATACATGTCGACTAAGGAAGCTTTGAAAATCAGCAATAAAAAAAGAGATATCATCCCTTGGCCTGAAAATGTCTGTCATGCATCATCATCTGCTGTTTTTACTCAAATATTATCCATCTCGAAACAATTCTGTGTAAAATACCAGCTGCAAGATAAGACAGTTCATCATACAATCACGTAAAACTAGCCTCTGATAACCTATTTAGAATGTAATTAATGCATCCTGGAGTAACTGGATGACAAAAATAAACACAATACAAGGTTGTTGTTAATGGTGGTGGAGCGTGCTTACCACTCTCTTGTCAGGCACTCGCTGGGTGAACACTCTGTACAGTCTCCATGTCTTCCCCAAAATTGGGCCAAACACCAGGGTACTACCGACACACAGAGTCCACATCCGAGCCTGTAGGAGAGAGAAGCACGTAATTATCTAACACTGATTTATTCAACAATACAATGGAGGACTAAGGGAGACTGTGGAGCTTACTTGTAGCACAGCTGTAGACACTCCAGCTTGTGAGTGTGTTTGTTCGTCGACGGCAAATAGGAAGGCGCTGCTGTAGGTGAGGACACTTCCAAAGAGAGTCAGGACATTCAGGTTGGGACTGGACATCTTCACTATCCTGAGAATACAACAAATGCAAACAATTGATCAATTGATTTATGTAAATATACCTTGAATGTTTCAGTGTGTGTTAAACTTTGTAGTCTACCTGTTGTTTTTGAAGCGCAGGGTGAAGAGGAGGAAGCAGAAAGCCAGCAGGATGCCACAGGAGAGCAGCGTCCACGCCACAGCACTTAACACCGGCGAGAGAGACCACGTAGGGAGCTCCACCTCCATCTGCACACACACACATGCACATGCAAACCCCTTAGAATCAAGTTTAAAATAGTACAGATGTAGCTCATACAAATGTGCATTATTCAATTTTATGTGTACGAAACTCTCCAAAAAAAAAACAAGTACACGGGATACAGATGATTAAACAAACTTTATTCAAGCAAACGGAGCAACAAACATCCTGCTAGACTTTTGCTAACTTTAACTGGAAAATAAGAAATGATAAAATAGTTCAAGCTACAGGAAATCTGTCAGATTTTAGACAGGCGAGATGATAAGAGGAGCAGAGTTGACCCCGCAATGATTACGCCGGGGGTTAAAGTACGGGAAAAGTCTTTCATTGAATGAGTATCCAGTGAATGAATAGATATGAGAAGCAGCATCCACGTTGTAAAAAGAAACCTGCCCCCACTCCAGATCCACATACACCCCGACTCGCTGGGGCTTTTCCACCAGAGGCACACAGATAGGAGTCCTGCTGAGGGCCCAGTAGCTCTTGTTCTTTCTCATCCCCAGGGCCCAGTAGCCTCTTTCCGGGTTTAATAAATTCCCTCCTTTTCTGTTGGCAGACTCAAGTACCACTCCAATATCCCACTCTGTCTTCCCTTTCACCTGGACCTCATAGTAGAACCTGCCAGAGGAGAAACCCTCCTTTCCCAAAACACAGACACCAGGGTAGAATCTCTCTGGGTTGTCAGGGAGGCTTAGTGCAATATCGCCATGATAGACCTGTTTCTTATTTTCAGACAGCACCAGTTTGGGATGAGCTGTATCAGGGTCCAGAGTCACATCTACAGCACACTGCCGAGCCCTCTGAAACTCGGTCTCACATAGCCTCTTCACCTCAGCCGTTACTGTCTCCTCCAACTGACACGCTGTTCTCCTAATTGCTCTCCTCACCGTGCCCACGTATACAGCACTCTCCACGCAGGTGTCAGACCAGTCTTTGGTGGCTGGCAGTGAGGAGAAAGCTGGAAAGCTCCGGAGAATGTAGAGGTCATCTTCAGCGTGTGAGAGCTCTTCCAGTTCAGCATTTCTCCGCCTCAGCTCGTCAATTTCCCGCTCCAACTCCACGATGAGTCCGCTGGCCTTGCTTTCAACTTGCCTCTGCTTTTCCCCGATCACCTCCACCAATTCAGCTTTGCCTCTCTGGATAAAGTGGAGTAGTTTGTTGAAGACTTGCAAACTCTCCTCCATCTCTATTTCTGTGTTTCCTCTGCTAAGCTCAACGGTTCGATTGATTTCGCTAATTTTCTGCAGTCTGCCACGGATCATTTCTTCCACCTCTACATTCATCCTTCTAATACGAGCTCTCCTCTCTCTGCTCTCATCCTCTATGGGTACAGTGTGATGAGCACTGTGGTCTTTCTTAATGCACATCTGACACACATACGTCTGGTCAGTGTTACAAAACAGGTCCAGGAGTTTCTCGTGGTTCTTACACACTCTGTCATGCATGTTCATCATGGGATTGATCAAGTGGTGTTTCTTGAAGGTGCCTAGAACATGATGGGGCTCCAGGTGAGTCTCACAGAAGGAGGCTAAACAGTCCAGACAGGATTTAAGAGCCTTGACTCTTTTTCCAACACAGACATCACATGAAACTTCCCCTTTATGCCCCAAATTCGCTTCTTTCTTTTCCAATGACTTCTTGAACTGAGACGCCACCTCAGATATGAAGGTATTAACTTTGAGCTCAGGCCTCCTGTAGAATTTCTGCTTGCACATGGGGCACTGTGACAGATTAGCACTCTGCCAGTATCCTTGTATGCAGTCCTTGCAAAAGTTGTGCCCACAAGGAGTGGAGACTGGTTGGTTGAACAAATCCAGACAGATGGGGCACAGAAGCTGCTCCTCAGACAGCACACTGCCAGTGGTAGCCATATCTGGGAACACATTCAGAAAGAAAATCAGGTGGGATTTTATAGAATAAATTGGCTTCGGCCCTTGTATTTCTTTTCTTTCCACTGTACCATTAGGTTTAGAAACAGTTGTGCCTGGTGAGCTATCTGTGTCCACAAATAGTAACAAATGCATGGTATTACATGTCACAGGATATTTAATTTTAGCTTAACAGTTGTCATGCCTACAGAGTTCAACAGACAATAAATAATGAAAAGGAATTGTTAGGACATTAAAATAAAATAAAAAAGAATATTAAAATACACTCATTGTCACATAACTATTACCATAACAAAGCAATCACAGTGCCACACACTGTGCCTTTCCCCTTAAGTAATAATTCTGCACTTTTAGACTGATGCATGCATAAATTAACATCACAAAGCATGAAATAAATGAAAGAGAAAACTCACCTCGCTTATATGGGGTGTAGCATGGAGAGGAAATTAGTCTGTAGGAGAGTGTTTGTGTTCCCTGACACAGCGCTCTACTACTTTAGTTTCTATTTGGAAAGTCTCATTAGGCTTTCTTGTGCCCGCCCCTCTTCTCTTAAAGGCACCAGTGACTGAGACGAAACTAAACATAGCTTCACTAGTCCACCAGCATTACCTTTAAAGTTCTCTACTATTGAGCTGCTTTCTCAAGTGGTAAACAAAAACAACATTTTATTTGCATGGGTGTTTTCTGTGATGCAAGACAGAAATCCACTAAACTTTAAGACATAGGACCAAGTTATAAAAAATAACAGATTACTTATTCAATTTAAATGTCAAGATGTAGAATATACAGACTATACTATATATGTTTTATCCTTTAACCTATTATATATTTATTATTATATGTATATAGGCTACAATTGTTGGATTTGCATATTTGGAGCATTTGGGTCTGTGTTTGTGTCTGTGTTTGTGTGTGATTACCGTGCTGAGGCCACATAGTCTCTGCAGAATATTGAGGCCCTCCTGCCTGTTGACTCCTGAGTGGATGAAGCAGAGTGGGGAATCACACTGGGAGCTGCAGTTCAGCTCAGGCTCCATGACTGACCCCAGTCTGTCCAATTTCACACACACATCCTGATGAACAAACAGATGACATGACGGATTTGATTAGATATGATTTTACTCGTTGTAAAAATTTAACTACAACCAGTCAGAAGGCAAACCCATAACACTGCACCTAAATCTCAAAAGTGAGAGAACCCACTGATCTCCAAAACAGAGATCACTGGAGACCAGTGAGACACATTTTATGTTTATTCCTGCTTCTATTTCCAAGTCTATAGTTCACTAACTAGTTGTAAGGCTTGTAGCCACCACAGTGTGGTGCTCTGACAGAAACCTCTGAGAGGAGGAGAGATGGGAGCATAAATGTGATTTTGCACTACACTGATATTACACCAAGGAAAAAGCTTTACATCATAAGCACAAATAAACCCAACAGACACTAAGGTTAGGATGAAACTAGAAAAAAAAATCTCAAATAAAGTGTCTATTACTTGGCACCACAAAAACAAAAAAGCCAGGACTCTGCCTGTGCGACAGGAAGCCTGTGTGTTTCTGCTTATCCTCAATTTCCACTAGCACTGTGTTATCTTCGAGTTAAACCAGCCGACACAGGATCACACATCTGTGCACAAGGCGAAAGACAGAGCAAAACAAAAGAAAATGTTAAAGTTGCAATATACCAACCCATTTGCAGTCTCACAGAGGGCCACATAACCTGCAGTCAGCCTGGTAATGGAAGGCAACTGAGACTGAAGACGTAAACTTATCACTACTGTTTGTCGCTCTTGCCACAGGCATTTTTATGAGGCTACCTTTGTTGCACTGACATGTTGCAGGTTTAATTATGTGGCATGGTATCACCTGATACTCTGAGCTGTAACTAGTACAGACTCAAGAGTCTGATCGTTGTTAATGCTGCAGTGACTCAGCTACATGTTGGTAAGACAACGTATGACCCCTTGTATCGATACAAACTGGCAGACAGGTGAGTGTTTACATGAGTAGCGTGTTATTAGACAACACGTCTCGTCATTGTCTGTAGAATGACTAAGATATGACTTTGGGATAGAAAGAGCAATCAAAACAGAACAGTGTGGGAAGTATGTGTTAAAAAGCTAAACTACATGGCAATCCAACCAACATGATATATCTGAAAGATTTCCTAGGTGTACGCTATTAATTGAAACCCACAGTGACCCATTTTCAGAAATTAATGGTGTCAACAGAACAATGAAGCCCACTGGGCAGCATATCTGGGAAATGTCTGGAGTTCCTGTCCATGTCCTTAATTTCGTCACTTTCCAAGTTTAGATCACAGTTCTGCTGCTTCCTGCAGGAAAAGCCGACAGAGAGCGGCATTTCCGCCAGTTTTTCAAAAACTAGCCTTCGTGGGTTTCAGTTTGGGAGAAAACCCGCCACCCTGCAGAGGTCAACAAAGGTCGGCCAACATCCAGCCATGGGGGTCACTGTGTAAGCAACAAGAGCAGGGCCCTTCCCCAGGCTGAGTTAGGTTTTATGGACATGTTTTGACAGTTCAGAATAGTCATGAGGAGTGTCTTTTGAAGTCCTGAAGGCTAAACCGCAAGTAATAGGCCTACCTAAGCTACCTGTAGCCTTGGATGTCTTACTTAAATGTAGGGCGGGCCTAATCTGTATGAAGCTTAGCTTTCACTTGCCCACTTGCCCCTGGGCCTCTCTTTGAGTCCTATTTTCATTTTCCTTTTCTAATTTATTAAAGCTATTTTTTACAACTATCCAGAATATTTCAGTCAATGTGTGACAGGCCTCTGGGCGAAGAGAGACAGAACTGAGTTTTACATGGCCTTTACCATAAAACTTCTCATTTAGAAAAATGGAGTAAAGCCTATTCATTGTACTGTCAATCTCTGTGTTTCTCTTTTAGGATTAGAGTAGGGTAACCACGGGCGCTGCCAGATGTAGGCTGAAGCACGGTTCAGGGGCCAATATTGAAACATTCCTCGTCAGACACTAATCCGTTTATAAGTTTATTCTTTAAGCTGAGTTAGAATGCAATTACTGGCAATGAAATCCCGCCTCGGTCCCGGCGCACGTCATTTCTGGGCACATGGTGCATTTTACAACCAGGTTATACAGTCTAAAATTAGTCACCCCAATTTGTCAATGTATATAACCATGTGACCATTTCAAGCAAGACACCTGACGAAATGACACAGTACTTTTTATTGTACATAAAATATGACCTAATTGTTTACAAATGAGAAAATACACGTTATTGAGGATATAGGAATAATAAAGAATAATTATAAAAGAACGTCATACTATAAAATGTTATATTGTAATCTTAATAACGTTATGAAGCATTCAATTATGACATATGTATATATTATATTTCAGCAGCGGATTAATCAACTGTTAATTTAAGACACTGTTTGGTGAGAGAGATGCGTAAAAACGCGCTCACTCACGGCTGCATCAGTGCAGTTTCACGGTAAAACAGCAAACTCCTCGATGAAACTGCTTCGGAAGAAATTAACAACTAGACCAGTGAAGGAAGAAAGAAAAGAAACCACAAAAGAAAAGTGTAAGAGAGCCAACCTCGGTCCCCAAAGCGCATGGAGGATCCCGTCGCCTCGTCCCGCTCCAGGCTCCATCGCGCAAGACTCAGAAACGTAGTAGTAAAAGTTGAAAATGAATGACTGGGTAATATTTTATATAACATAGCTACAAAGGTCCCATAGCTGCAGACTTGTAATGAATCCCACGACTTAATCTCTCCGTCAAACTGTCAGTCCACAGCCCGAGAGGATCCTGTCACTCAGGAAAAGTTCACCAGACTGCCGGAGTTTTCATTTGAGCATTGAGGAAGGGAGGCGTGTGTGTGTGTGTGTGTGTGTGTGTGTGTGTGTGTGTCAGGGATAGGAGATGTGTTAGTGTGCGCTTCTCTCTCTCTCTCTCTCTCTCTCTCTCTCTCTCTCTCTCTCTTTCTTTCTTTTGTAAGCTTTCCAGCTCCAACTGCCCACCAAATGGGTTTCAGAGTGTGATGTGACCCATGTGGTGCAGGAGGGTTGTGACAGTGTGTGCAACATGTTGCAGCAGCCCCTGGGGACTGGGTGGCATATGGGACAGGGCGGCACACTCTGCGTCCACAGTGCAAATAAATACACTGAATAACAGCACTTGTTTTAATGGAAAGAGAAACACACATCTCCATTTTGTTTTTCAAAAGCAAGCCTCCACCAGGGATGGCAGAGAGACTTCTGGCTGGTAAATCACATCAAAAGACACACACACAAAAAAGATCTTCTGTCTGAATGCAGTGAGGCAGCAGAAATATTTCTGCATTTGTTCCGGCAGCCATAAGAGGCATAAAGGTGTTATTAAGATGTCACAGAGATTTATAGTGTGAGCCTACACACAGGGTCATTCCTGATGAGGGAGTGTCACCACCACTGACAGCTGTAAGTGAGGAGCAGAGGCACAAAGAGAGATTATTACAGAAGAGGAGAATATGCACATATTCATTCATCCAGTCGTCAAACCCCCCATTAAGTTACACACACACACACACACACACACACACACACACACTGACATTCACAAATAGATTGTATTCTCCTGGATGCACTTCAGATCAGATTGGAAATTGTTCTTCTTTTTAAATGTTTGTTTTTCTCTGTGGGCTGAAACGTAAACTCCTCTAGGCACTGAAACACAGTGATAAATCGTATTTTCAAAAACCGGAAGCTCACATTATAGTCAACCATAAGTTTTACAATATAACGTTTTTTTTTTTGTAATTAAAAGCCAGCATGGTGGTGCTCTTCTTAAAACTGGAGGACATACTGTATGCCCGTTCTATAAAATACGATTTATCAATGTGTTTGAAGGCCTAAAACACAACCCAGTTTAATTCTGTTTAACATCGAGTTAGAAAGTACAGTAGAATATAAAAAGTTTATTCAAAACTAAAGCTACTAAAGTATCTTTATGTAGGATTTTACCATATCAAGACGAGAAAGGGCTTTAGGCTTAAGATGAGAACAGGCTGGAAACATTAGGAAGATCAATCAAATATACACTCACTCAGGTCAGCTACTCTGTACCAGACACACTGTACTGAATGGAGACTTCTGCATGATGGCAGGCTACATACTGCTGCTGGCTGAAAACAAACAGTAGCACTGCTAAACAGCATCAGGTCCAGAGAGAATGACTTCCTGACAACAGTTCACCACCAGCCATCTTAAAAAAGGACATTTAAGTGTACATTAGAAGACTGACAACAGGCTCTTCAGTTAATGAACGCCGTTTCTGTAACTGGTGGGAGTCTCTGTAAATGTGGCTTCCACAATCATATTATGTGTTCAAAAAACAGCCATCATATCAAAGATTAAAAACCCTGTGGCACAGAAATAGCAAACTCTAGAAGAAAATGAGATAGTAGCTTGTAAACTCAACATTTTCACTTGTGTGTTGAAACACTGCTGCCAGCTCTGTTACACCCAAAGCGTGGCAATCACTCTCAAGTTTCCCTCAAGATCAGGTTCAAGATAGACCGCACCAGCAGCAGGTGGACTGCACCGGTGCTCAGATTACCAGGAGCCTGAATATTTCATCTGGGGACACGTAGCTGTTACTGAAAAAGCATGAGTCAAAGAACAGAAGCTGGCAGGGAGGGTGAACTGGAAGAAACGGGACACATGTCGTTCTACTGAGGTTACCAGGGATCAACTCTAACATTAAGATGTTATAATTACCAAATGCAGGTGTCCCTAACAGTTGCTATCTCTTTCTGGGCTACCATATTGTATCAGCTGGAAGTCCACCAACCAAAATAAATAACAAGCAAAGCTTTTAAGCCATGTGACACACTATTTCCTGTTGAACCACTCCTGACAGGCAGCACCACCGTTTCCTGCATGGAAGCATCTGCAGCTGTGATTCAACACCTGACCACATTGCCAGCGAGTCCCACCATTCTGAAGCGTTTAACACTGTGTGGGTGGATATGCATTGTTCTGTGTGTGTGAAGCATCACCCACTCCTGTCCTTGCCCGAGCCTGGACGCTCCCCTGTGACATGCCCAGGTTTGCCCACAAACATACCCAGAGACAAATCCCTTTCTGGAGCGTTGCTATGGACCAGGATTAGCAGTGCTGGATCAAAGCTGCCCTGCAGGCTCTTGTCATGATGTTTCTACCAAAAACAGTGATCATGATCAGTGTAGGGTCTTCTCACTCTATTTTCAAAAATTATGAAGTGTTGAAAAAGCCGCAAAGCAACTGATGATGCAATAACTGCTGTGATAGGTGATAGGTGGCCCTGGGAATGAGTTGAAACTAGTTTAAAAGCTGATGGTGTAGATATAAGCTCATGTGCAGTGCTGATATGCATGAAACTCGATGGAAAGGTGTAGCACGGGCCAAGGAAGAACACGTTAAATTTTGGAGCAGATCCGAATTAATGGAGTGGACACACAAATTATTATTTTTCGACATTGCGATGTTATCACAATGTCAGCTGGTACAGTCTGTGGCGATAAATAATAAAGGAATGATGTGGGGTCAAGAAGTTATTCATCATAGCAATCAAACACTGCTCCACTGCAGTGGATGATTATTCGCCCACCACTTCTTTTCTTTCCCCTGTAACCACCTCAAAACCAGACTTTCTCCTCATAGGATTAGCAGTGTAACTCTGATTATTGCGAGGGTGTCTGCAGTGTGTGTCTGTCGTGTGTAAAGGCTCAACTGTGTATGAATTTGAAACTTGTCATGTGTGACGTTAGGCACTGGCTATAACCGTGCTGATATGAGCTGGCTGCCTCTGACTGAGGGCAATAAGAGGCTTAGAGTATCAAAGATCCTGCATGTCAAAGCACTTTGCTCTTTGATCTGCTGATTACCGGCAATACTGTATGCATTGTTCACAGTCACTGTGAAGGGTCGAGAGACTGGTGGCCCCCATTAAATTTTGCAACCAAAAGAAATGATTTAGATGGATGTAATCCTTAAATATCACAATAGATGAAACGAGGATTATGAGAAATACGACCACACAGAAGCACATTTACCTTGCAGAATTGCAGGCAGCTAAAACAGCATCTCCCTTCTTTGTGGCCAATCCCACTTGAAATCCTGGTTTTCAAGACCCAAATTCCAGACTCATTTTATGTTCTATGACCTTGAGCGAAACTCAACTGAACACAACATCTACCCTTCTCATCTGCCAGTCACAACTCATTGCTTCCAGTTCATCATGGTTGCATCAGAGTCGCATCTCAGGTTGCATTTCTGACAGCATCCTCCTGTGTCACAAAGCATGCAGTGTGTGAGCGCATGTGCACATAAGACAGATGTAATATAACTCTACACAATGTGCTAGAGAGTCTCCTAGGTGCCTGCTGTTGGTAGACAGGTCCTATGTACACGTTTTTAAATGATAGCAAAAGAGAAAACACAGAACCCAGCTGTGACCTGGTCAAAGACCATTCAAAACAAACAAAATATGTGAAACTCAAAGCATCATTCTTGCCAGCCAGGCTGAAAGGAAACAGTGAGGTGAAAAGAAATTGAATGAGACGCTGAGATAGGAACAGAAAGCGTGAAAAGAGACGAGAGGAGAGGAAACAAAGTAGCCGATGGCTCTTGGCAGGTGACGTTGAGGGATTAGCAGATTGTGCGAAGCAGAATGCACTCGCCCTGGCATCCCTTCCTACTGAGGTTACAGAAAAGGTCTCTCAGTATTCAGCCTCGATAATGAACTCACCTTCATATGCAAATGAAACCTGGACACATTCAAACTACAAAATGGTCAGACTGGTTCATATAAACATGCACACAAAAACCCTTCAAACTCTCCAGTAGTTGTGCATCTTTTGTACACAAAAAACACACATTTTATAAACAAATACCTTGTCTTTTAGCAACTACACTAAAAAACAGTCAAATTAAAAAATGTTTCTACATTCCCCAAATCAACACTCAAACTCACACAAATCACAAAAGGTCCCAATACAAACACATTTTAACAATCAGTCTTTATTAGTTATTATATCCTGTACAGTCTACTTACATTATCTGAATGGGGTACAAGTACATACAATTAATATACCTCAATATATTTTCTTTTTAAGTGCTATCTATTCTGCAGGTTATTTAAATATGTAGTGTGTTTAACAAAAAAAAGAGATTTCTATAACAGTTGATTTTGTTATAAAAAGGTTACCTTTTCTCTTTCTGTTTACTGTAAGCAGATAAGTACCACAAGTATCACTCAATAAAGGACTTTATTATTCATAATGTTAATCTTGTCACATTTCTGGGTGCATATATCACATTTCTTCGTGCTTTGATGTCACTGTGTTAGAAGTCACCATTAGTAAAGCACCTTAATGCTCTAGTATAGGTGTTATTGTAACATAGAGGAGTGTTCTTCTGTTTTCTGAACACTAGCATCTGATGTGAACCCAGCGGGAGTTTTTCCTCCTCACTAACAGACACAAACTGTCTGGGAGGCTCCTTGCTTTCCAAACAAGCAGAAGGATGAAGCAGAGATGTAACCAGGAACAGAAACAGTCATTTCCTGTTAGAAATGAAGGAGCTTCTGTCTCAAATTTGAAAAAAAAAATAAAATAAAAAAAAAATAAAAATTTCACTGGCTGTGGACACCATTTCCACATATCTATATTCTTTAGCTCAGAGAAAACCGACAACCCTCCACATAACAAGAAGGTTGCCACTGTGTTTCGCTGAATAGGTATTGTTCCTGTGCTAGCACTGTGAATGGTTTCCCCTGGTCCACCCCACATCCACTTCCTGTGAATAAGCCTGGACAAGCTTTCTTCCACAGA